TACCTACGACCCTAAACTAACTACCCTCTGAGCCAGGGCGCACTCACCACCGTAACCCTTGTGGGAGCCACCCTTCCCAAACGTCTCACCGGCGTCGCAACAAGCGGCTACCACCATGAGAGACGAAGGGTCGAAGCGACCCCATGCGAAGAGTCGGGTCCGAGTCCCCTCCGACACAGGCCCCCCCCCCCCCCCCCTTTTTACCCCCCCCCCCCTCACTCCCCATACTCTGCACCAAAGGTGCCCTCCCCCTCCTTCCTCCGACCAGCGCGGACCGGAACCATCGCGGCAGTGGCAGCGACCGCAGGCAGCTTGCCCACGGCCGCCACCACTTCCTCCAGGAGAGCCGGCACGCCCCCCTGCTCCGTCCGAAGACGACGCAGAGACGACTGGATTTGCTACACCGAGTCAGCACCGAAACAGTACGGGGGAAGGGGCATGCTCACGGCGAACCCCGCCTCAATGGCGGCGCGCGTGGCACGAGCCTCCTCGTAGGAGTCTCGCTCTGCCGCGGAGCGGAACTTCGGAACGCTCTGGGTGGCCACCCGATTTGCCTCCACGGCAGCAGCGACGACGTCGGCGGTGACGACAGGGAGGGCTGCTTTGGCAGCGACGAGGCCGCGGTACTCCTCATCGAGGAACCAGGGCAGCTATCCACCCGATGGTCAGCTACAACCAACCAACCGAACACCACAAGGAAACGCACCGAGACGCAGGGAGAGTGCTGGTCAGTGCAGTACTCGCACTTTGACGACGAGGGAGACCAGATGCAGGCATGCGCCTGGACTCCCCGAGCTTTGGCCCGAAGGCAATGCAGACAGAGGATGCAGAAAGCGACCGACAAGGCTAGGAGGCGGGACTGGCATCTTCAAGTTGGGATCTATAATCCCGTCAGTCGAGCCCACATTATCACCCGCGCGCTGAGCGCGTTCCCGTCACCTACTCGTTCGTGTGGAATTGTATATTCTAAACAATCAATTAGTATACAGATATATGAATGGAGGGGGGCCACTTACCAGTCTCGGATTGGCGTTCGCTGGCGTTGTGGTTGTAAGGAAACAAACAAGAGAAAATGGGCGAAGCGGAGTACTCAAATGTTGGCTTACAACAATAAATTCTGAATCGGGCTAGCGTGACCACTCCCCCTTTCACGTTTAGAAAGGTTCAACTCAAACGCTTAGCGGATACTTCCCGGTGCCCATTCGGACCACGAAGATGGAAGTGAGATCAAACAAAGCCAACTCCAGTGTCGCATTCCACGAGGTGGTGTTACGGTACCCTTCACAAACAGCCACCTCCGCAGAGAAGCACCTTCCCGACACATTTTACAAACGGAGAGGTTACGAAAAGGACCCTGATGGCGTGCTTTGCGGACAAAGCACCCTCTTAGAAGGGGGGTAGTGTAAGGATGCCTTCTCGTCTCTCACTCTAAGGAGCAGACTCTGAGTAGCTGCGGGTCACGTGTGATCATTTGGGCGGGCTAACCGAGTCGGATGGGTTTCAGGTACTTGAGGGAAATGACTCACGAGGTTCCCCCTGGTCACGTGTGATCATTGGGGTGGGCTAACCGTGTTACGATTATAGCTTACAACTTGTTACGGTTGTTACAGGTGCAGCCTTAGCCACCAAGGCTACAACCGCTAAGCGGACAACTGTATATTACTGTTACGACGGAACAAGAAGGCTGGCCAACTACAGGACAGGAAGGAGGGAGGTCGCATGAGACCGGCCCTGGTACCTGGAGGGGCAGCGGGGAATAGTAGTTCTGAAAGTATCACGTGACGGACTCGCAGGATGATGAGAAGAGTCCTAAGAGTCCAGGACTCCGAGGACTCGAGTGAGTTCCCAGGAGTCCACTAGGCACGTGACAGACTCGCAGGATGATGAGAAGAATCCTAAGAGTCCAGGACTCCGAGGACTCGAGTGAGTTCCCAAGAGTCCACTAGGCACGACGCCACTATATAAGTAGATAGTATTTCCTTAGATAGGAGCTTCGTGCTCAACTCAATACAGTATTTGTTATATACTAGTAACGTGTTACTTGAAGCCTTTGTGTCTGATCCCCTGCCTCCTCTGATAAGTAAACCTTTATGCAAGAGAACCTCTGTGTCTTCTATCATTTAGAAGTCAGCGTTACAATTACGAGGAATAGCCTCACCTTCCTTCTTCTTCTCCTTCTCTCTTTAGATTAATCTAGCTTATTATTCTCCGGACTGGCTTCTTGACCTCCGTGACCATCGTAACAAACCAAGTCGGATGGGTTTCGGGTACTTAAGGGAATTGACTCACAGGGTTCCCCCTTCATCTTTTTTGTATCCTTCGTAGTAGACCTATAAGATAGCATCCGTTTAGCCTCCGACTCGCACTCTCATATGCTATTACTGTGAGCTGGGTGCCCTGTGTCCTTACACATACATCGCATTTGCTCAGCCACTAGTGTAATGGTGGGTGCACCAGATGTGAGAATCTAGCCACCCAAGGAAGGGATGATTTTGACAACACACTGTCTTAGGAAAAAGAGCCAAAGGGTCGTAGCTTAGACTATTCCACAATGCAGCAATCAGGTGTATGATGTAGTGGAGTGGTTTAGACAAGTTGTAACAAATGTTGAGTCTGAGAACTCAGGGATAAGTCAGAGGTTAGCACCTCACTGACTTTTCAGAAACAAGGAGTAACAAGATCAATGCTTGGAAGCTTGGAAAAGACATCGAAGTATGTGATAGTCAATTTACTGTATTGTCTGCTTGCCCTTTCTTAAGGAAAGGGCAATCCTATTTATGCTAAAGGAGTGTAGTTCTCTCATTTTCCAAGACTCCATGACTAACCAGGCTTGGTAACTGTAGTCGACGTAAGAGAATCCCATAGAACCATCTCCTAGGTTCCTAGCCTATAGGAAGTGAAAGGAGGTCCAAGGTCAGAGTACCCCTATAGACAGATTATGTCATAACTTAACCAATCTTGTGGGTAACTAAGGAGCGATGACGTGTAATGAATCATAGAGGGTTGTAGAAGCTTTTGGAGCTATCGTTCATGTTCGTAGGCCTCTAGTTGGTAGAGATATGTCATGTGGTAGTATGAGTGATGTCATGTAATGAATCATAGAGGGTTGTAGAGATATGCTATGTGGTCATATCGGCCCAGTAACTAAGGATCAATGACGTGTAATGAATCATAGAGGGTTGTAACAATCGTTGAGTAGTATTGCTCTTGTTGTTGGTGTGACAAGCCAAAATATGTATAGTGACTTGTAGGTTTGAGGAGGAGATTTCTAAGTTTGCTCTTGAGTTTGATAGCAAACTGAGTGCAACGAATGTCAGTATGAGAACTAGATGTTGTGATATTTGGCCTGCTAAAAAAGCGCCTAACAGCAGTGCTCTCCCTACTCAACCAAGCGCAACTTGCGCGTACACGGAAGTATAAATGGATAGAGGCATACATCTAGGCACGGCTTAATTTATGCAACCATTAGAATATTAAGTCAGCATACCGTGGTGTTAACTTGTTTCCTTTTAATCCCTAGCAAGCGTTGCGTACACTGCTTAATGATGAGCCATTAGTTGAGGTTGACCGACCAAAAACACCCCATTAGTATGATATTTTTGACTAAGTCTTTATTAACAGCTCCCCCCTAGACGGAATGACCTTACGCTCTGCAAATGTGCACCTTACAACTACGATTAATAGTAGTAGGGTGCCGTCAACACTAGAGCAACTTAGAGCACGTAGCATTGTTCACCAACTCGATGCTAACAACTTGCGATCAGTTATGAAGCAACGTATAGTACGTACGAAGGGGAGAAGGGTTGTTCTAAAGGGTCACTTTCATGTTTCTACACAAGAATTGTGTGATGCGGTGATGGAGGCGGAAAAGGCAACACATAACTAAAGTAAGAAAAACAAAGGACAAGGACGCCTCCTTAGACATTGAAATTGACAAGTATATTGAAGAAGAAGCAGGGGAACAATCTGAGAGTGACGGTGGATCATGTATTATTGTTGATTGTAGTTAAATTTACAGATTTGTTACGTTCTCTTCAAAATTCCACCGCGTTACGCCATCCCCCGCGTTACGCCACGACTTACGTTAGTCATGATTATTATGATTATTTGTGCTAACCCTAGGCGCATCCGATAATTAATGTTGTTTTCACAGCCACCATCGCACCGCGCCGTAACGATATGCAAGCATCCGCGATGTGCACCTTGGATCTATGAGGAGCAGCTACGTTTTATTTTATACGATTATTTATATTTTAGTATCTCCATTTATTTATCTATACGTCCAATTCCTTCCTTCCTTTTCATACACTTCTTCCCGCCAACCGCCCCAACTCCCCCTTCGTCACCGTCTTTAACAACAGACTCACCGACGCCGCATCCCCCAACGTCAATACCGACGCCCTCTGCGCCACGCCCACCAGCGCCTCGTCCAGCGCCACCCCCTCCGCAAGCCCCGCAACCAAAACACCCAAAAACGTGTCTCCAGCCCCATTCACACTGCTAACGCCGCGGGCACCTAACGCCTCAGCGGGAAAATGCCTCATGTACACGCCGCCGACGAAGTCAGTGCCGTTGTTGCTCCAGGCAAGGACGTAGGGTGCGTGTTCGGGGGCTGTGAGTTTGGGGGAGTCCGGGGTGAGGAGTTCGGTCAGTAGACAGCCTGGGAGGTGTCAGTTAGTCCCTCTAACATGCAGGGATAAATGCGAAATGGGCTTACCTCCGCTGCCGAGTTTAGTAACAATCGATGGGATAAACGGCAATAGCTGCACAGTCATTTGCGGCACGCCGGCGTCGACGAGGGCACGCGATGTAAGCTGTACGAAGCGGTCGCGGGCTCCGGTGCTAGGGATGCCGAGGGCGTCGATTACCTCCCACCAGTCTTGGCGCTCGAGGTAGGAGCGGTCGCGGGCCGCGGAGTGGAGGGCGGTTAGTTCGAGGGTGTTAGGGGCTGCGAGGGTGATTGCATTGGTGGGGAAGACTGGGAGGGGGAAGCTGGTGTTGTTAGATTATGGACGATAGTTGGGTAAGGAAAAAGGGGCACAGAGCAGATAGGGCTGGCAAGAGAGATTGAAAGGTGACTTACCCTGCAGTTGATGGTTCGGGGAAGAGAACTTGTGACTTGGCTGTTGAGACAGGCTCGAAGGCCACTTTGGCCCCTGCTGCGCTGGCCGCAGTAATCCATTGCTTGAATGCAGACGGGTGCCAGTTTGCATCGACGACAACCCACTTCGGTTTCGCAGCATCGATCTTACTTTGCCATTGCAGTTGGAAGTCATCGCGTGCACCACCAAGGATATCCATATCCGCCATAGCGACGAATAAGTCGTTTCCTGTGGTGTTGACTGCCACATACCTTGCGGTCTTCGTGTTTGCATCTGCTGCGAGCGTAGTGATTCCGTCGCTTCTAAGGCCGAACTCATTCATTGTCGAGAGCGCGAGTTGGCCTGCTGTGTCCGTGGCTATGAGGCTGCATAGCTGCACAGAATTGGTCTTGCTGGCATACTGAGCTGCTGTGGCGACGTTGAAACCCACGCCTCCTGTGGTTTCTGTTATAGAAGCAGGGTTAGATGTGTGTATCAGGGGTTGCGAATCAGCGGCCTTGTCGAATGGTTTGTAGTTGCACGATACGTCCACAGCAACAGCTCCAGCTACAAGTATGTCTACCTTCTGTTGTGGTGAAGCGGGCTTTGAAACTTTGGGGCTCGCTTGGACTGGCTCTGGCGTCGGAGCTCTAAGTGTTGTCTCTGGGGATTCGATTTCCACCCCATACAATGCGGCTTCTTTAGTGTATCGAAATTCATTGGGAGATATGACGGGAGTGTGTAATGCAAATCTACGACTTAATTAATCGCTATCCCTACTAAAATATATGGAAGAATAATCTCACGTGTTCGACTCGGCATTTCTTAGCTTTGCAAGCTCAACGGCAACCCTGGTAGCTATAGCCACATTCGACTCGACCAAGGCTCTGTTCGCTGGCACACTCTTTCCTTCAGTAAGCTCCTTGATGCGAGACAGAATAAAAGGTGTATTTCTGTGGCCGTGGAACCCCTTTTCGGCTGCCTCTGCAACAGCAGCTTCGATAGCCTCGTCTATTTTGGATTTTTCCAGCGCCCACTCTTTGGGGATAGGGTTTGCAAACAGCATGCCGTTGGAGCGGAACAATTCCGACGCGTCTAAATCCTCAAGTCAGATGCTATTTCAGCGCTACGAGAAAAGATAACACCCACGTATGATTGCGGCAGCTTCTTCCGCATTTTGGATAACCATTGGACTCCGAACGCCGCTTTCTCGTGTCCAAAACGCTGGAAAATCTATGTCACCTTTCCGGCCTCCTGCAAACGTAGCTACGCAGACGCCTTGCGTTTCCAGATACTCCAAGGTGCGCGGAATGTCAATGAAGCTCTTGCAGCCACTGCTAACAACTGTGACGTTTGTTCGCCCGAGCTCTTGGAGGTCTGCAGATACATCCATGGTGTTCTCTCCACCACGGTGAACTCCGCCAAGGCCTCCCGTTCCAAATACGGAGATATTTGCTAGTTCCGCAAGGAGCATTGTGCCTGCGATTGTAGTGCCACCGTTTATCTTCCTCCCTGTTAGTCCCTGTACTTATGTTAGTGCTTGTTAAGCAAGGCCAATAAGTTCATTGGAGGCTTACAAGTCCCGCAATGTAGGGCAAGTCTCTCCTGGAGACTTTCATGAGCTCCGTCTTGCTCGATGGATTGACAAGTTCTGTTAGCTCTTCCTCGCTGAGGCCAACTCTGGCAACTCCGTTTAAAACTCCGATTGTTGCTGGTATCCCTCCTTTACGCCTCACAACGGACTCTAGGTGCGTTGCCAGCGCTACATTGTCAGGATAGGGAAAGCCATGGGTGTAAATAGTGGTCTCTAGTGCCACGACCGGCTTGCCAGTTTCGATAGCTTCTCGAACCTCATCTGAGACCTTGAAGATTTTAGAGTTGGCGGAAGCTTTCTTCTGGACTTTCCTTGGCGTCTTCTGGTCACCCCTTTGCGCTCTGGTAAGAGTCTGATCATTCCCTTGAGCTCTGGCAGAGAAAGGGCGATATGAGACCAGATTCTCGGTGTGTTTTGCCAGGTTTGGCCGGAGAGCTCCCAGGCGACACAGACGTGTTGGATGCATGACAGCGAATTGAGCTGTGAAAATTCAACCCAGCGATGGGTGTTCAAGATACAAATGATTCGGATTTATGTGGAAGACGTGAATCTTCATGAATTGCTCACGTTCAAGCACTGTACTTGCGATTGATAATAGCTCACAAGCTGCGCGGGGCAACTCCGCATGTATACCACTAACGGTGTGGTCACAGTGTCCAAACAAGAGCCGGAAAATGAGGCAAGCTACTGAAAGATGAAGACGCTGGAAACCAATGCACACAGAAAAAAATATAATACAGAGATCCTGTGGATGTTGTAGTATGACAGCTGAACAAGTGGAGGAAGGAGGAGGACGTTCCGCTGAGCAAAGAGAAGAGCAATAGAAGGTCATGTGACTACACTGAGAACGGCTGTCAAACTGCTGCTGACAAGAAATAAATGACGCTAAACCCGTTAGAGACGCGTAATATGGACATAACAATATGAACTGATCAAACCTTGCGTTTTTTGATGATATAAAGGTCATAAAAAAAGGAATAATATTGAAATAATATCAGAGTAGTATTTTAGAGGTTCATAGTGATAAGTTATATATTTGTTATAAAGGTGTCTCGACCATTGTAATCCGGAGATCGGAGATACTATTAATCCAGGGTCTCAATCACGTTTTCGGACGGAGAATTCTTATTGGCCAATGCCATAGCTATTGACGTGGGAATGATGGCAGGAAGCTTCACTAACTTACTGTGCTTCGCTACGCTTCGCATCCAAGGCCGATCTCGTTTTACGTTGGTTGGAGGCACTATTTATTTATTTCTGCTCTATATACTCTGTTTCTTACAGAGAGGGGTTATATCCCATACTATAACACACATCAGTACTGTGAAAGCTCGATGTATGTGCTATATTATTCCCCACACTCCACTCCTGTCTCAGTGCTCATCATGACCCCCACCCCCCACCCCACGAGCGAGCAAAAGCAAATGTCCATGAGCTCCCGCACTTCTGACGCAATTCCACTCCAGATGGACCTTATGCATACCGTGGATTCCACATGCTAATTATACACGACCTCCAGAACAGGTCTTCCAAGTGGGTATCGAACAGGATCCAGGGAGGCTACAACTTCCGACCAGGCCTCATCGTCATGAAGTTCGGCGAGCAGCTCCGCACGAGCGTGATCAGGGAATACCAGTGGTACTACATAGACTATGACGGCCTCAAGGCGCAGCTGAAGACCGACACCGCTCCCTCGACGGATGGCGGAAAGGGAAAGCGCGTAGAATGGACTTCGGAGAACGAAGAGGGGTTCATAACCACTCTCTACCTTGAGCTGGAGAAGGTACACACAAAGCAGAGGGTCAAGGCCAATGAGATTGGCCGACGCATTGCCGCCAGTGAGCGTGAGGTCACTGAGGTCGTGGGCAGACTCGACAACCAAGGACCAGTAACAGCCGAGGGCCACTCAGATGCACCGACAGAAGAGGAGTTCATGCTGCTGGAGGAGGACTTGAGCGATATTATTGCCGATGTGCACGACCTTGCCAAGTTTGTCCAGCTCAATTATACCGGCTTTTTGAAGATTATCAAGAAGCATGATGTAAGTGCCAATGCGGTGTTGAAAGCAATTGGGGCCAGACTAACAGTTGGGCGGCGTAGAAACAAACAGGGTGGCACCTTAAACCGGCCTTCGCCACTCAGCTGAAAGCGAAGCCCTTTTTTACCGACAACTACGATGCCGACATCGTTAAACTCTCGAAGCTCTACGATATTGTAAGGACGAGAGGAAACCCGGTCAAGGGAGACAGCGCTGCTGGTGGAAGTCAAGCAAGCTTTATCCGTAACACGACGAAATACTGGGTTCATCCAGACAATATTACGGAGCTGAAGCTCATAATTCTTAAACATCTTCCAGTACTGGTGTTTAATGCTAGCAAGGAATTTGACAAAGAGGACTCCGCCATTACATCGATCTATTATGACAACCCAGAATCATGGGATCTTTACGAAGGGCGTCTAAAGAAGACTGAAGGTGCGGAGGCCATTCGTCTCAGATGGTATGGTGGAATGGCAACGGAGACGATATTCGTGGAAAGGAAGACCCATCGCGAAGACTGGACTGGCGAGAAATCTGTGAAAGCCAGATTCGCCATGAAGGAAAAGAACGTGAACGCGTATATGAAGGGTGAATTACTTCCGCCAGCTATATTTGAAAGGGCTAGGAAAGATGGTAAGAAGCCGGAGAAAGTAATTGCAGAGGACGAGCGACTGGCCAAAGAAATCCAGTATTCAGTGCTGAAGAAGGGTTACGTTCCTGTCTGTCGTTCGTTTTATAACCGTACGGCCTTTCAGTTGCCTGCCGATGCTCGTGTGCGAATTTCGCTGGACACGGAGTTGACAATGGTCCGAGAGGATAATATGGACGGCAGGAAACGATCGGGCAACAACTGGAGGAGAATGGATATTGGTATCGACTGGCCGTTCTCACAACTGCCTTCTGAGGACGTTGAGCGCTTTCCGTACGCTGTCTTGGAGGTCAAGCTACAGACGCAAAGCGGCCAGGAGCCTCCTGGATGGGTGCGGGAGCTGATTTCGAGCCATCTCGTCGAAGCCGTTCCGAAATTCTCGAAATTCATTCACGGCACGGCGACGCTTTTCCCAACACGCATCAACCTGCTTCCGTTCTGGATGCCGCAGATGGACGTTGACATCCGAAAGCCAGTCACCCACGATTTCGGTATTCGCAGACCAGGCCAGTTCGCAAACTCGTCAACGAGCGAGGACGACCAAGACGATGAATCTGATGACGACGATGGACATGGCTTTGGGCATGCATCGCAGGATTCCACCGTCCGGGATGACAACTCCGAGGAAACCGTGCGTCATATGCTTGAGGCACGGAATGTTTTGGAGCAGCAAGACCTCCGAAGGAGAGCCCAGATGTCAACGGGTAATACACTCGATGACGAGGAGCAGATTGCCAACCGCCCCTTAACAGATGCATATGTTATCTATGAATCCGACGATGAGGACGGGCCAAATGATCTTGAAGAGGCAAGACGTGTTGGTGGGTGGCCATACTACTCTTCATTATTGAGGCATGAAGCTCGGGCAGTACGCGACAACACGGCCAAATTCGTGAAGAAGTTGGTGGCAAGGCCTGATGTCTCGATGGACAACGCGATACAAAACAGACTTGGCCAGACTGTGACCGAGCGGATGTTCAAGGCGCCAAAGGGGAAGAAGATCCACGTCCCCGTCAGGGTAGAGCCGAAGGTCTACTTTGCCGCCGAGAGGACGTTCTTAGGCTGGGTAAGCCGTCCTGTGTATCTCCCCATTATTTACTCAACCATACTAACCTCTCTAGCTTGAATTTTCTATTTACATCGGCACTGTTGCCGTCACATTACTTAATTTCGACGCGAAATTAAACAGCATGTCCTTCGTCGTCGCCGGCGCGTTCACGGTTGTAGCCGTCGCATCGTTGCTATATTCGGTGGCGATCTACTTGTATCGTGCACAGGCGATTAGGGAGAGGAAGGCTGTTCAGTACCATGATGGTTGGGGACCGAGTGTGCTTTGTGGGTGTGTGTTCATAGCTATTTTGTTGAATGGGTGGTTCGAGTTGAAGGAGAGGTAGGGGGGTAGTCACAACGAAATCGTGGGGTAGTACAGTACATATATATTATTGTAACAACGGTAGAATGCATCTTTAGTGGTGCCGAGGAGATTCAAGAGGTTTGCACTGGAGGAGATATGGGGTGCTTTTTGGGTATAGCAAAGCATGCTGTGTACAGGAATCTTCAGAGAATATATGCTACATATGTCTTAAGTCCCTTGTTTGAGTCTCCGCCGGGTCACTCATATACTCGTGTCGCCTAAAACGGATAGGGGGACCAAAAGTAACACCAGTGTTTATAGCATCTGTAGTTTTAAGCAAAGGCGTTCAGTCACTAAAGGCCATATTCAAGAGCCCAGTTACTCACAAACGGAACTAGAAAGATAAATTTTACGAGTCTAAACTACTAGTATTAATCCTAGGCCATACATGTCCCTCTTCAGACATTTGGGCGGCAGTACTGCACCATTAGCTAAAATGTCATCCAACCGTGGTTTCCAAAATGATATTGGGCAAGTTAGTGACAGTGACACGCCGATACTTATGTGGAGATGTTGTTGACCGGGCAACAAACAACATAGGGAAACATAAACATCAATGCCATCTCACCATCTAAATTCTCAACACCAAGGACGACAAACAACGACAACCTGGACGACACGACAAATCCACCAAGATGTCGGCTTCCGACGACCTAATCAACTTTGACATTATTGAAGCGCAAAAGGAAAACATCCAAGCCATCCCCAGCGGCCGCTCCGCCCGCGCCCTCGCAAACCTCTTCTCCGCCTCCCCCCTCCAACCCCTCGCTACACCCAACCCCTCCGACACCAAAACGGTCAACGACGCCGTGCGCGCCAACTTCGAGGCCGAACTCGCCCTTTTCGCAGAGTCTGATGACCCCCTAGACATCTACGACCGCTACGTGCGATGGACTATGGACGCGTACCCCTCCGCGCAAGCGACGCCGCAGTCGCAGTTGCTCCCGCTGCTCGAGGCCTCCACCAAGACCTTCCTCTCCTCTCCACAGTACAAAAATGATCCGCGCTACTTGAAGCTGTGGTTATCGTACATCCGCTTCTTCTCCGATAGCCCGCGCGAGACATACGCGTTCCTGTCGCGCCATGGCGTCGGTGACGGGCTAGCGCTGTTCTACGAGGAGTTCGCGGCATGGTTGGAGACGGCGGGACGCTGGACGCAGGCTGAGGAAGTGTATAATATGGGGATAGAGAAGGATGCTAGGCCAGCACCAAGGTTGCTGAGGAAATATAATGAGTTCCAGCAGCGGTTTGCGGCACAGCCGGAGGAAAGCCGTGCGCCTTCTTCGCCGGCACTGCCAATTGTGCGTCCAGCGCTCGCCGCAAAGATTGATCCGTATGCGTCTGCTGCAGCGCCACCGGTGGATCCACAAGCACCTCGCCCGAATTCGGGGGTTGGTGGCTCGCAGACAACGCGAAATGGTCGCCCGAAATTGGCGGTGTTTTCGGACGCAGATGAACCGGCACCTGTGGTTGGTGGGAGTGGTGCCAAGGGCTGGGACTCGATCGGTTCCCTAGCAGAGAGGAGGAAGGAAAATGTAGTTGAGGCGAAACCGTGGGCGGGGGAGACAATGAAAGCCGGGGCCAAGAAGAGCACTGCGCCCAAGATGGCGGTTTTCAAAGACCAGGTAAGATAATCATTTTCTCACTCCCACATCTGTCATATGTTGATGATCATAGGACTAATGTTTTGGCTGTTGTGGCGTTTTGTAATTTCAGTCTATACCAATTTCTAAACCTCAAATATCAAGTTCCGAGGCGCATTCAAATTCAATCATTGCGGTGAAGGAGCAGGTGACTATTAATGCTAAGGGCAGGAGTGAACGTATTTTTGCTGATCTCGAGGCGATGTACCCCACGCCCGAGATAGTCGGGAGTGAGCGGTGCTCCGAGGAATTAATAGCTGCGGAGAAGGGCTGGCTCGACATGAACTGGGAGCCGGAAATTAGTCATGTGGTGGTCGATCAGGAAAACGAGAGGTTTGATGTCTTTATTAGAGTCGAAGGGATGCTTCCGAAGCAAGAACTTTCTTTGGACAGATCTTTCCAGGAAAAGTTGGTGATAGCGAGAGATCCGCCTATGGTGGATGAGAATGGTGTGGCCATAGAGCCACCGAAACATGGCAGAGGCAGGAGGATAAAGACTATGGAAGTCAACGAAACGCAAATTAGTGAGTGCTATATCCCAATTTGTTTTTATATGACTAATAGGATGGCTAGTCAAAACCAAGCTCTCATCTCCTTCTGCTGGAAAGAAGGTCAAGCGGAGGGCCAACGCAGAACCCACCATGACTTTCCATACCAAGGCGGCCACTGATGACATCTATGAGCTATTTAACCAGCCACTTCAGTCGGAGGAGGTGTCGGAAGAGGAGGAGTCAGAAAGCGAAAGTGATGACGATGAGACGGATGGCGAATACACGACTGAGGCTGAGAGCACCGGCACCGGAAGGCTTGTGACTACGAGTGAAGCTGTTGATGACGAGACTACATATACCAAGAGCGAGGTTGCTGCAGAAGACACATCAGATGCCAAGAGTGTGAGTGAATGGTCGGAGTTTACGGCTAGAAAACATATTCCTGGCATGGAAGACGAGGATGACGATGATGATGATACACGAGCATCTCATCTCTCCGAGGACGACCACGACGATTCCATTGTCGAGTCTAGCCAAGACCATGACGATGCCATTCTTGAGTCCAGTGCTATTCTCGAATCCAGTCGAGAAGCTGACTCGACGTCTCATGACGACGAGGATGAAGTTGATGAGCAAGAAGAGGTCTCTACGCCCATATCCCCAGAGCATCCGGAGTCAGCCGTCCGGACAATGTTCGTCCCTATACCTCCGGAAGACTATGTAGCACCCACACGACCATTCCGCGATGCATCTCAGGTATCTCAAAACCGATTGCCTTTCATGACTCCCATCGCCGAGAAGACTGAGTCATCTCTCAGTGCCTTCACGGCACGTGCTGAGAAGGAAGAGTTTATCTCCAAAACTCCGTCTAAAGCGAATGGGCAACAAGCGTCATCCATCTTCCGCAGCAACGATAGGCTCGATTCCAGTCCGTTCCAGGAGGTTATTGATGAGCCATTGCCTCTCACTGAGAAAATTCCGCCTCCGGCTCTTGGTGTCGTAACCAAAAATAAGGCGCTGCCATCAACCAAGCCAGCTACAAATGGAGCCGCTTTCTCAAGGGACATCGCGACGAAGGGTCCCATAATCCAAGACCAACAATGTAACCCGGTCGATGACTATACACGAACCCAAATATTCGCGGCCCTGCAACCTCCGTTGACGACGTACGAGGGCTACTATGACCACTCAACTGAGGCGCACGGCAAATCCGCAGAGCTAAAGAAGTTCGCCAAAGCAGTGGCCAAAATGAAGAAGAACACCAGCGAAAAGACCACCACAAACATCGCCATGCCCCCCATGCTACGCTTTCCCGGCGTAGAAAGAGAGTACATGGTCAAGCGCGAGTTAGGCGCCGGCGCCTTCGCACCCGTCTACCTCATCGAAACCGTCACCGACTCCGACGATACCACCAAGACCAACGAAAACGGCGCCATCATGGGCCGCGGCGCCTTCTCCCTCCACCACCGCCAACCCCTCGAGGCGCTCAAAATGGAAGACCCTCCCACCGCCTGGGAATTCTACATCATGCGGCAAGCCTCGCGCCGCCTCGGCGTCTCGCGTGCAGCCGACTCTCTCATCCACGCGCACGAGTTCCACCTCTACCGCGACGAATGCTACCTCATCGAAACCTACCGCGACCAAGGCACGCTCCTCGACCTGGTCAACATCGCGCGCGCAGACAGCCAGCAGGCAGGCGGCGTGATGGACGAGCTCCTCGCCATGTTCTTCGCCATCGAACTCCTCCGCACTGTCGAGGCGCTGCACAAAGCCGGGATCCTGCACGGCGATCTCAAGGCGGACAATGTGCTCGTGCGGCTCGGCGCGGGGGGGGTAGGCTGGAGCACGCAGTACGCTGCTGATGGTTCGGCGGGGTGGGCGGAGCAGGGGGTTGCGCTGATTGATTTCGGGAGGGGCGTGGATATAAAGGTGTTTCGGCCTGATGTGCAGTTTATCGCGGACTGGAAGACGGGACCGCAGGACTGCGCGGAGATGCGCGAGCTGAGGCCGTGGACGTTCCAGATTGACTATCATGGCTTGGCGGGGATATTGCATAGTATGCTGTTTGGGCGGTATATGGAGACGGTTGCGGATGCGCGGGCGGCGCTGCCGGGGCAGGGGGCGGGGAAGAGATGGAGGTGTAGGGAGGGGATGAAGAGGTATTGGCAGGGTGAGATTTGGGGGGATTGCTTTGATTTGCTTTTGAATCCGACGGCGCATGTGGAGGGGGAGGAGGGGGGGAGGATGCCGGTGCTGAGGGGGTTGAGGGGGGTGAGGGAGAGGATGGAGGGGTGGGTGGGGGAGAATTGTGAGAGGGGCGTTGGGTTGCAGAGTATGTTGAGGAAGTTGGAGAATAGTATCCAGGGTAGGAAGTAGGGGGTGTGTGTGTGTACGTGTGTGGAGTTTTGGCTGGAGATACCCTGGGTGCATGGAGATGGAGTTGTGGCGTTTGAAGAGGTATTGGGGATGATATTATGAGTTATTGTGGCATTTTCTATAATGAGAACGAGTTCAACAGACTTCTGATTCCGGTTTTCTTATTAATGTAGTATATATCTATACATAGGTATGCATCCCGATACCTTCCACCCAACGCCTTTTGCCCTTCACACCCCTCGCATCTCAGCCCCAAAACCCATCAATGACTACACCCCCCCTCACTCTCATCATCCGTCTCCACCTCCACCTTCTTCTTCCCCTTCCCATTCCCCTTCTTAAACATCCCATCCAACGCCTTCTGCGCCTTCCTCTCCACCTGCCCCCCACACCTCTCCCTCTCCTCCCTCCCCTCCTCCTGCAGTCCCACCTCCACCTCCCTCTCCCCCTCTCCCCACTCCCTCCCCACCATCCCCTCCAACAACTTAATCTCCCTCGCCCACACCCCCCTATCCTCCCCCCCCACCTTCTTCCCCCCCACCATCTTCTCTATCGGCGTCTCCAGCACCATCGGCAGCCCCTCAAACCCCGGGTAATTAACCACATTCCAGAACGCGCGCAGCCCGAGAAAGCCAGTCCCGATGTTGGCGTGCAGGTCGCGGCGGCTGCCGAGGGGGGTTTTGGAATCGTTGAGGTGTAGGGCGCGGAGGTAGGACGGGCCGACGATGTCGTTGAATTCGTTCAATGTTTTGGAGAAGGCTTCGGGGGTGCGGAGATCGTAGCCGGCTGCGAAGGCGTGGCAGGTGTCTATGCACACACCCACGCGGCTCTTGTCGTCTACTAATTTGATAATATCCCTCAGATCCTCAAACCGCGAACCGATTACGTTCCCGGCGCCTGCCATATTCTCCAACAGCGTCACGACGGACTTCGTCGCTTTGTGCGCGCGATTCAACATCCGCGCAATCCGTCCAACCGCCTCCCCCCTCGACTGCCCCCCCGTATTCCCGGGGTGGAAATTATACAACCCAATGCCCAGTGCTTCGCATCTCGCCAAGTCATCCAGGAAACACGTATACGCCTGCTCCGCCTTCTCGGGGTCGGATTGCGCGAGGTTGACGAGGTAGGAGCCGTGGGGGAGGATGTGCCGGGCTGGGTCGTAGGAGTGGGTCTTGGAGAGGGAGAGAAAGTTGGAGGTTGCGCTGGCGGAGAGGTGGGGGGAGGACCATTTGCGTTGCGATTTTAGGAAGAGCGCGAAGCTGTTGGCGCCGATGTGGAGGGCATTGGGGAGGGAGTTTTGGACGCCTGGGGGGAGGTTAGCTGGGGGGTTCTGTGGGGGGGGTGGGGTCTGGTTGAGGGAGGGGGGGGGGTACCTCCTGCAGCGCTGATATGCGCGCCGATGTACATCTTCCTCTTCAGCGTCGTGACAGCAGTGCGTGCAGCGACAGGCATAGCGTCGTTTTCAGTCTCCTCTTTCGTTTTCCGCTTCTTGACTGCCTTTTTCGCAGGCTTCTCTACAATCTTCTTCTCGTCGTCTGAGTCTTCGTCTTTGATCTTCCTCTTTGTCGGCGGCGGCGAGATCTCCGCTTCTTGCTTTCTCTTCAAAGCGGTAGGTTTACTGGTCTTTGCAGCTTCAGTCTTGCCGTTCGCTGCTGCTGTTGTGGCCTCTTTCTTCACCACCGCTTTCCCGCCCCGTTTCTTGACTTCCGTCTCTTCACTCACGGCCTCGTCAATCTCGGCGACCGCCTTCTCAATATCTGGTGTCGCGGCGTACGAAGCAATGGCAGATTTCCTGCTCGAACGACGCGACATTATCTCCCTCCTCTTATCAAAAATTCGTTAATCCGTCCTTTGAGTGCGAATATGCTTTGGTTTTTTAAATTGTCGTAAGCCAATGTGTTGTGTGACCGGAGTTGAGAGTGAGAAGGTTTTTTGATCTTGGGGTATTGGATTGGGGGGACGCGTTAGTAAGCTTCGCGAGAAAACGCGGTGTCACGTGTTTCTCTCTTAAAAGCTTTGGTGGGAGCTGGGAGGATAGGAGGGAATAGAGCCTATATTTTTTTGGTGTGTAATTCGCAGTGTTTACTGATCTAATGGAGATTGTGAGGTTGTGCAAAATCCGGGTTTTTGTTATTTTATTTTGTTGATTGTTATAAACTCAAAATATTTCGCAAAGAGCTCTCTCGAAACTAAAATAAAAGCTAATGTTTTTTGTAATAGCACTTAGAAAAGGGCTATAGTTTAAACCTAGCCATATAGAAGAGCAAATAATCCATAGTATACGCCAGCGTAGCAAGAATCCTCAAGGCTCATCACCAACTCCTCACCCCTCTCCAACGCCCCCTCCCTCCTCTCACCCCCCATCCGTCGTGCGATCCAAATTAAACGCCGCACTAATCAACGCCAAATGACTAAAAGCCTGCGGCGTATTCCCCAACTGCTCCCCACTCCTCGCAATCTCCTCCGAAAACATGCCCAAATGATTCGAGAAACTCAGGATATTCTCAAACACATTCACCGCCCTCGTCAAATACTTCTTATCATACACGCCAGCCCGCGTCATCGCTTCCACCAGCCAGAATGTGCACATGCTGAATGCGCCCTCGTGGCCGCCGACCCCGTCGTCGGATTGTGCGGTGTTGTACCGGTAGACGAGGCCGGTGCTGGTGAGCCCGCCCTTCTCCGGGGTGAGCAGGATGCGGTCCATGGTGCGTAGGAAGCGGGGGTCGTTGGGGGAGATGAAGAAGACGAGGGGGGCGATGAGGATGGAGGAGTCGAGGGCGTCGCCGCTTTCGTAGGATTGGACGAAGCATTTGAGGGTGTGACTGTAGCCTGTGGAAAGGGGAAGGAAGGGGGTATTAGTTTTGCTGGTTCTGAGTAGGGGGAGGCGGGGGAAAGAGAGGCGGGGAGATAACTACCTTTGTTCATTATTTCCTCGTAGATCTCGTCGCGTGCCTTCATCCATGCCGCGCGATTCGGGCATGGTAGACACCTCTTCTCCGACAGTCTAAGGCCGCGATCAAACGCTACCCAGAGCATGATTTTGCTGTACACGAAATTCTGCTTATTATTCCTCACTTCCCAGATGGACATGTCGGGATCCGTAGGCCAGTTAGCGCGGTCTAAATGTCAGTGGATGATGGATGGCTGGTACCTTTCCAGATCGTGAGCACGTAGTCCAGGATCTCCCGAACGGACACCCATTGCTCCCAAGTCACGGGTTTCCCGTATTTGTTATAGAGATATATGCCGTCCATGAGCTCGCCGTAGATGTCGAATTGCTGGTGGAAAGCGGCGCCGTTGCCGATGCGGACGGGTGCGCTGCCTCTGTATCCTGAGAGATGGCTGTTGTCAAGATGTTAATATTTGTAAATCCTTAGGTAGGGGTGCGACCAACCTCAGCTCTATCTCAGGGATATCAGTCTCGCCCCGGATGGTAAACATAATCGGCAGAGCCCCCTCAGGCGATCTCGACTTCCTAAACCGATCACTGATGAAATCCATATACGAATCCGCCTCCTCCGTGAACCCCATCCTGAGGAGAATATAAATTGTAAAACTAGAATCTCGGATCCAACAGAACCGATAATCCCAGTTCCTGCGCGACAGTTAGCAGCCAAGCTCAACACACAAGGTTTCTCTAGAAAGAAGTCGTGATACTAACGAATGCAGAGGATAGGATTTCTCGTGTTCCAAGCCCCTTGGGCCACTATCATATTTGGGTGTGAGACATTCATGTTCAAAGGAAAGCTACACTACATGCATGCATGGACATGGTACGAAATACGAGGGGAAATGGTAGGAAAAAATAGCTCTAGAGCACTTACCGAACGCCTCCAATGGCTTCTGGGACGGAAAAGGTGGGCGAGGCGATGATGGCGCCAGTTGGTTCGTAGGTTAGCAGTTTCAGGATCATCAGACTCCGGTTGACGACCTCGCGCCAGCGGCCCTTGTACTTGGATTTGGAAATCCAGTTGTACCAGAATGCCTGGGTGTCATGCTGCTGCGTGTCCAGCACTTCGGTGGTGACGTCTGGGGTGACGTGGTCGGGGATGTCGTCGCGGAGGACGAAGGAGATGGCCTGGCCCTCTTCGAGGTGGATGTGAGCTACGACACCTTCGCCGAGCAACTTGTCCTTCTTGACGGTGGTGAATATTAGTAATGGGCAGGTTATGGAATCCTCGTCTCCTTTGTCAATGGTGACGTCTAGCTGTAACTTCAGGTTCTTCGAGGAGAAAGTGACGGTCTTGGATTCTGGCTCGGCGTGGCCACGGTTTGGGATGTGGATTTCCACCGTGTGTTCGGCGCGGGCGTAGTCGAACGCTGGGAAGATCTCAACATCTGGGTGTATATTAGCTTGAGTACATTTTTTCCGATTGGGAGGATATACCAATATCAACATATCCCCTAATACACTCAACACGTCTCACCAGCCACTTCTTCACTTCATCCTGGACAATCACCGTCTCCCGGAACGGCAACTGCTTCTGCTTTGCCAGGACAATCGTGTTCTTGGGACGCGGGAAGAAGTCAATCAGGTCCATGGCTCCCTCTTCGTGAATGTATCGGGTCTGGAGGATGTTTGACGAGGGGAGATATTGCTGCTTGGTCGTGTATTGGACGCCCTTGGTCGGGGAGATATTAAAGTAGCCGCCATGCTCCGCATCGAGAAGGCGGCCGAATACGGTGGGGGAATCGAAGTCGGGCCTGACTTCGTGTTAGTGGTGTGGTTTTGTGAGACCGGATGAAGCGGGACTTGGGGGGGAATGGAATTAAGTGGTAGATGAGTAGATATGCCGCTCTGTGAGGAATATGAGAAGATGAGAATCTTACCAGCACATAAAGTCCAGGCTCCCGTCGATGCCCACCAGGGCACATGTTCTCATATTACCGATGAGGCCATAGTCTTCGATTGGGAGGTAGCCTACAGAGAAGCAGAAGTCAGTGAGATATTCACCAAGGGTTGGAGAAGCTGACCACCTGTCCCTTTCCTCCTCTCGCCCTCAGACAGCCCGGATGGGGACATGATGGAAGTGCTTGTCGAAATGGCCAGCGGAAGCTTGGGGATACTGGTGTGATGTCGGCGGTGGGATTGTGAGAGTATACAGAAGAACGGAGGGATTGGAAACGAAGAGGAGAGTTCTCCTCGCTCTAGGCAGGAGCTCTCTTTGTTATTGCTGGGGGTTTTACGAGGAATGCATGAAGCTATTGATGGGATGTCTGTGTATCGATGGGATTGGGGCTGAACATAGTAGTAACAGAGTAGTAATGATGACGGACGGTACATGATGGCATTGAGGGAAGCTTCGGGACGGGGCCAATCAGAGGAGCGGGGGGAGCTCGAGGTGGGGGAATTGGGACCAGGGGCAAGATCCGCGCAGGAGGAATAAATATACGCTGTAATTTGACCGTAATGAAAATTATACTCCGTACCCTGTTGTGATTACTAACCCACCACGTGACGCTTACAGCCAGCTCTTCCAAAGTGATAATTGTACAACACTCCACCTGACTGCTACCTCCCCTCGCCGTCCTGGTGTAGCTTCGTCCTGCTGATTCGCCAGCCGCCGCTCTCATTGTGGCAAGATGGCTTCGTCAAGCCACCTCAGACCACAACGCTAGGAGCTGCTGCTGGCCTCATATGTGATAGAGGCATCAGAGAGGTTAATAGGGGGGTATAGGGTGCTTACAGGCAGCAAAGGGTGGAGGAGTAAGGGAGGTAGTCGCTGTCGCTCTTCATGTGGGGGACGGTGAGCGTCACGTGGTGACTTATTAATCACGACAGGGTCCACCACCCCGGAATCACGATGAGCGATTTTTCTGCTGCCTCAGGTCGCACCCCACGGTCGCAACGTCGGTGCCAACTCAACCGTGGCTTTCGCGATTCTGCTCGGTGGCAGCGACCGTATATAGCCCAACCTTGGTAAAAAGCTGTAAATAGGCTCTTATATGCTGTAGTACCGTACACTACCTACGTAGCGATATAAAACAAGTGCTAGGGTAAACGGTAGAAGCCTGTAGAAGCCTGTGTTCTGGTTGTAGGTGCTGTAGGCTTCGCTGCGGTTTCGGTACCATCGACGCTCTCCTATAAAGTTTTGGGGCCACCAAGTCTACGATGACGGTCCAAAATGACGATTCTCATCGTGATTATAGCTAGTTCCGCACCTTTCGCTACTACCGGTATTTGTACGGTAAATAGCGGTGAAGCTGAGCGAAAAATCACGTGTATGCCTCAGGACCCTACGTTTGCACTAAACAACGACCTATTCCTACTATTCCACCGTAGCATATATACCTTAATATATAATACACCATTACATTACCGATATAAGAATGTGCTTGGGACCGGGATATGAATAAGAATACATGGGGTATTCTTAGCTTCCATAATCTGACTATATCTAAACATCATAAAGCTTCCATTATAGTGATTTTTTCCTGCTCAACATCGCCATCATCTTCGCTTTCCCCTTCACTTGCTGCTCGGTAACTGTAACGCTCGACCACTAACGTAAATATTTCTCTATCATTATTATTGACAATTTCACTAGCAGGTTCAATGAACTTAGCGAGTGACAGGAGGTATATAGGGTTGTAGAAGCTTTTGGAGCTATCGTTCCAAAAGCTTCTACAACCCTATATGATTCATTACACGTCATCGCTCCTTAGTTACCCACAAGATTGGTTAAGTTATGACATAATTTGTCTATAGGGCTACTCTGACCTTGGACCTCCTTTCACTTCCTATAGGCTAGGAACCTAGGAGATGGTTCTATGGGATTCTCTTACGTCGACTACAGTTACCAAGCCTGGTTAGTCATGGAAAGTCTTGGAAAATGAGAGAACTACACTCCTTTAGCAAAAATAGGATTGCCCTTTCCTTAAGAAAGGGCAAGCAGACAATACAGTAAATCGACTATCACATACTTCCACGTCTTTTCCAAGCTTCCAAGCATTGATCTTGTTACTCCTTGTTTCTGAAAAGTCAGTGAGGTGCTAACCTCTGACTTATCCCTGAGTTCTCAGACTTAACATTTGTTACAACTTGTCTAAACCACTCCACTATATCATACACCTGATTGCTGCGTTGTGGAATAGTCTAAGCTACGACCCTTTGGCTATTTTTCTAAGACAGTGTGTTGTCTTAGTAAATTCATCCCTTCCTTGGGTGGCTAGATTCTCACATCTGGTGCACCCACCATTACACTCTCAAACCAGAAACCAGCACAAACCTTTGAGCAACAGAACCTCCAGAACCAGAAATCAAAACTCAGACCAACCAGAGCTACACATTGAACCAGAGCCAGAACCAGAACACCAGAACATCAAATCCAGAAACCACAAGTCAACTCAATACCACACTCATGTAATGCTGACTTCTAAACAATAGAAGACAAAGAGGTTTCTTGCATAAGGTTGACTTGACAGAGGAGGCAGGGGATTAGACACAAAGGCTTTCCAAGTAACACATTACAGTATTGTAAAGAATACTATATTGAGTTGAGCATGAAGCTCCTATCTAAGGAAATACTATCTACTTATATAGTGGCGTCGTGCCTCATGGGTAATCTGGATAGTTGGCGGATAGCTAGATATTCAGGATAGTTCGTGGATAGCTCAACTAGCCAATATCCACTAGTTTCTGCAACTATCCATTAGCCCCGTCACATGGCAGCCTACCCCGCTTGCCCCCTGTGACTCACATGTCACGTTACTAGGCCCTGGTCCTGTAACCATGATGTCACGTTACCGTAGCTGTAACAGCTGGGCCAATACTACCACATGGCATATGTCAACCAACTAGAGGCCTGGAAACATGAATGATAGCTCTAGAAGCTTCTACAACCCTCTATGATTCATTACACGTCATCGCTCTTTAGTTACCTACAAGATTGGTTAAGTTATGACATAATTTGTCTATAGGTACTCTGACCTTGGACCTCCTTTTCACTTTCTATAGGCTAGGAACCCAAGAGATGGTTCTATGGGATTCTCTTACGTCCACTACATGATTAGCAAGCTAGTTGTGGGTCGCACTTGATTTCTAATACATTTACCAAGCCTGGTTAGTCATGGAAAGTGATGGAAAATGAGAGAACTACACTTCTTTGGCATAAATAGGATTGCCCTTTCCTTAAGAAAGGGCAAGCAGACAATACAGTAAATCGACTAGCACATACTTCTACGTCTTTTCCAAGCTTCCAAGCATTGATCTTGTTATTCTTTGTTTCTGAAAAGTCAGTGAGGTGCTAATCTCTGACTTACCCCTGAGTTCTCAGACTCAACATTTGTTACAACTTGTCTAAACTACTTCACTACATCATACACCTGATTGCTGCATTGTGGAATAGTCTAAGCTACAACCCTTTGGCTCTACAGTCAAACACCGTTAAGACGATGGATTCGAGCCACCATTTTCATATCGTCTTAAAGCATATATCGTTTTATACACACTTATGTAAGCCAATTATCTAGTGTCCTTTGCATGCGCCCATTCTGATCCAAAGCCTCTAATTCCTGGTCAAGACTCTCAATAGCCCGTAGATGACCTGTTTTGATATCTCCACTACTTTCCGCAAACTCAATAAGAATATTCAAGGCATTCCTAGCAGCCTGAATGGTAGGTACTAGTGGCTGTAGTACCTCTTCTTCTTCTTCTTCTTCTTCTTCAGGAACTTCAAGATGTTCTGATATAATCTCTTGCAGAATCTCATCATGATTTAATGCTCCTTCATCCTCTACTATAGACTCTTCAACTGGGTTAAGAAAGTTAGATATTGCCATAGAGTCCTGGATATTGCCAGCTTGTGCCACCTGTGCATATAGCTCTGATAGATTTGGTGGAGTTATTAATGTAGGAAGAGATATTGGGTTGCTAAGGAGTCTTGATTTCCGAAAGCAGTTATAGATAGTTGTGTTTGTTATGTGGTGATTCCAACTCCGAACAGTCCAGCGAACTGCAAGATGTAGATTCATCGACTTCATTGGGTCTTGATTTGTGTAATGGTGGGTGCACCAGATGTGAGAATCTAGCCACCCAAGGAAGGGATGAATTTACTAAGACAACACACTGTCTTAGGAAACAGAGCCAAAGGGTTGTAGCTTAGACTATTCCACAACGCAGCAATCAGGTGTGTGATGTAGTGAAGTGGTTCAGACAAGTTGCAACAAATGTTAAGTCTGGGAACTCAGGTGTCATGACACTCCTTCGATATTTGTGTCACGACCCTTCGATTCGCTTTAGTCTCTAGTACTTATTTCACTATGTCATTCACTTCACCTGCTTCGCTCACTTCGCTCACTTTGCTCACTTCGCTTCACTTGCTGACCTAGATCAGCCCAAATGTTGACTACTGGCTTAGGCTCTCTGTTATTGGCTTGCTGCACTAGGGCTCGCTTAGCTAGGGTTCGGTTAATTAGTGCCTTCTTATTTGGCACTAGGGATTTTTACTGTTATATAAGCACTTATTGCTCATGTCTCTTATTGATCTTTAGCTAGCAAATTATATACTACTTGGCCTTCTTGCAATTCCTCCTGCTTCGACTTACTTTGCATTTCCTTACTTCGAGTCGAACCACTTGGCCTACCTGTTAGTCTCACCACTTGACCCCTGTGGTATAAAGTATATGCTTTGGAGCCTGAACTACTATACCTTGTCCTACTGCTTCGAGTATCGAAGTCTTCACATTATACTTCGGATACTTCTGCAGACTTGAAGGTCAGCCTCGGTTCGAACTGTCCTTACATCAGGGGTAAGTCAGAGGTTAACACCTCACTGACTTTTCAGAAACAAGGAGTAACAAGATCAATGCTTGGAAGCTTGGAAAAGACGTGGAAGTATGTGATAGTCGATTTACTGTATTGCCTGCTTGCCCTTTCTTAAGGAAAGGGCAATCCTATTTATGCTAAAGGAGTGTAGTTCTCTCATTTTCCAAGACTTTCCATGACTAACCAGGCTTGGTAACTGTAGTCGACGTAAGAGAACCCCATAGAACCATCTCTTAGGTTCCTAGCCTATAGGAAGTAAAAGGAGGTCCAAGGTCAGAGTACCCCTATAGACAAATTATGTTATAGACAAATTATGTTATAGACAAATTATGTTATAGACAAATTATGTTATAGACAAATTATGTCATAACTTAACCAATCTTGTGGGTAACTAAAGAGCGATGACATGTAGTGAATCATAGAGGTTCGTAGGAGCTTTTAGAGCTATTGTTCATGCTCCTAGGCCTCTAGTTGGTAGAGATATGTCATGTGGTAGTATGAGTGATGTCATGTAATGAATCATAGAGGGTTGTAGAGATATGCTATGTGGTAATATTGGCCCAGTAACTAAGGAGCGATGACGTGTAATGAATCATAGATGGTTGTAGCAATCGTTGAGTAGTATTGCTCTTGTTGTTGGTGTGATAAGCCAAAATATGTATAGTGACTTGTAGGTTTGAGGAGGAGAGTTCGAAGTTTGCTCTGAGTTTGATAGCAAACTGAGTGCAACGAATGTCAGTATGACAATTTGATTCAAAGCATTGAAGCATAAAAGAGAGCCACTGCCATCGATAGTAGCCTTTGAAACTCTGTATAATGCCTTGATCAAGGGGTTGAAATCGACTTGTCAAATTGGCTGGAAGCCAGAAGATTCGAATATTTGAGGGCGGTGGTGATAACTCTAGGGCAGTGTAATGAGCAGAGAAGTTGTCCATTGTTAATAGAATCTCTCGAGTCCTCCCAACGTGTTGATAGAAGGCTTGAAGCCACTCACTCATAATCACTGTATTCATCCAAGCCTTCTTGTTCCACCTCCATTCTCCTCCCATTGTCGTAACATTGATGCGTCGAAAAGCTCGAGGGTTCTTTGCCTTGCCAATTATCCAAACAGGTAATCGGTCATTACCTGTAGCATTGGTGCAGAACACTAGAGATATTCGGCTTTTATCCTTCTTAAGACCAGCGTGAGAAGTTGTTGCTAGACCTCGAGAAGGTGTCATTCGCCAGAAGAGCCCCGTTTCATCCATATTATATATATCCTCCTCTTGAAACTCCCCTGCCAAGGTTTGTAAACTCTTCATTTGTTCCTCTGCTGACTCTGGCACTGACCCAGCTTCACCGTGGAATATATGCTCAGAAATGCGATGTCATTTCTTGAATCGTTGAAGTCAGCCAGTGCTAAAATCTGGGCATTCCTGGCCAGAGTATTGTGGCAACTGACACCAGACTTGTCGAGCTTTCTCTGGGATGAGATCGCCACTTGTAAACCCTCCTTGCTCTTCGATTCGTTTCTGCCAGAGGACGAGCAGATTCTCAAGGTCTGGCCACTGCCCTAGGCGAATTCGTGAGCCTTCAACCTTGTTGTCTATGCCATCGAGAGTTGAAAAACGGTCGCTGAGGGACTCAGAAACAGTGGATTGGCTTAACTGGTGGTTGAACTGCTGCTGAAACCATGCGATACAGGCTCGTTGAGAAGTGCGGTGGTGTTGGCTTCGAACCCAGGTGCGTAAAGCTCGTCGCTGCTCGAGAGTTACACGCTGCTTTCGAGGCATTCTATGTGTGTATAGGACGATATGTTGGAGGAATATAAGGATATCGTGAATATCGATAAATGTATGGTGTTTGAATCCGTCCCAGAAAATAAATCGCACAATCGAACATATCGTCTTACATAAGATCGTCTTAACGGTGTTTGACTGTATTTCCTAAGAAGTGTGTTGTCTTAGTAAAATCATCCCTTCCCCTAGGTGGCTAGATTCTCACATCTGGTGCACCCACCATTACAGTTTGATATTCAACGGCTATTATGGCCAGGTAATTCGCCTGACCTTAATATGATTGAGCCTTGTTGGCCATTTATGAAGCGGGTTACTACTCGTAAAGGGCCTCCTACAACTCGGAAGACTGCGGAAATCGTGTGGAAAAAGGCATGGGAGGAGCTTGAACAACTCTCAATCCACGCCATATTCAAGAGGTTATTAGACTCGAAGGAGGAAATGGATATAAGGAAGGGGTTAGTGATATATCTACACATGGCAAGGCACGTAGGAACTATTAACTATTATAATTGATTCTCATTTAATGAAGCTACAGGTGCAAGTATCGTGAGTGCTCATTGACTAATTACAACAGATATAGTAAATTGGAATTCGTGGTCACGGGCATGGCGTCATCATTTACATCATAAGTTACTCATCATCTCTGTGTCGGTACAAGCCCACAAGTATGGACGCAAGTACAAATACAAGTACAGCCACAGCCACAGGTACCTACTTACCTCCTCCTCCTCCGCTCCTCTGTCCTCCTCCCCGAACAACTTCCATCAATACATACATATTTATACAAAACCCTCACACAGGACCTCACCGTCGCTACGACCCATATACTACAATACCCACCGCCGCTACGACTCGTATACTACAATACCCACCGCCGCTACGACTACAATACCCACCGCCGCTACTCGAGTACGACTCATATACAATACCCACCGCCGCTCATAATCTCGCAACGCAAGCCTGACGACATAACCCGCCGAACTGCGCCTAACGACGCCAGAGACCGCGGCAAGAGGAGAAAAAGGGGAGCACATGGCCTTAGGGTACCAATAGTATCTCCACTACCCTCCCTCTTCCCTCCTCTCATCCTCTCATACCTCGAATACCTCCACAACGGCCCCAGTACAGCTGTACAGCTGTACAGCTGTACCCGCAAAAGTCTACGCAAAAGTCTACGAGTACTCCAGTACTGAACCTCCGTACTGTCAGAGTACTCCGTACTACTGCACCTGTACCTCCACCTCCATACCTCCTCCATCCTTTCCCCCCCCCCGATCTGGTCCCACAAGACCCGACCGAGATCTGCTCCCCCATCTCCTCCCCCTATTCGATCATGGACGTCAACACAAATCAATTCAAGCTCGAGAGTCTCCCTTCAACATCTACGCCTGCGCCCACTGCACGACCAACCATCCCCTACGCCCAGTTCCCGCGCCCGACCCTCCACGATCCGGACGCAAGCTTCGACGCCCCCGACCCCGATCACTTCGACTACGACTACGACGACCACTCGGATGCCAGCGCGGCCTCGAGCAGCACCCTTCGACGCGGCTCCTTCGCAGCCATGGACTCCACAACCACCTCCCAGCACCGCCGGCGGCGGAGCACGCTCACCAGCCTGCAGCCCCCCAACGCGAGGGGCCAGCGGTCAACACGGATACGGGATGGGCTCACCGAGGAGCTGAGCTGGTCGCAGGAGGAGGAGCCGTGGCTGCAGGACGAGTCCAAGTCGAATAGCGACGAGGCGGGGGTTCATGGGAATAATAGCTCGGACGACGACAACAATCTGCAGGACGACGAGGAGACGGGGTTGACGGGGACGAGCCGGCGGCAGAAGCGGCGGCGGAGGAACACGTTGCTGGATCAGCGCGTCGCCAAGGAGTCTGAGATCACGAAAGAGGAGCGGAAAGAGGCCGACCAGAATGTGATCAAGGATATGGCCATCAATGGGCTGTTCATCCTGTTATGGTATGACCCCCCAATTCCCACCATGCGCCTCGGCGCGTTGCTAATCTGACCCCCCTTCTAGGTACATTTTCTCCCTCTCCATCTCCATCTACAACAAGTGGATGTTCTCGGGCGAACACCTCAACTTCAAATTCCCCCTCTTCACAACATGCATGCACATGCTCGTGCAATTCTCCCTCGCCTCCCTAGTACTCTACCTCTTCCCGCGCTTCCGGCCTCGGGCAGACTCCCTCGCGCACCCAGACTCCGTCTACACGCCCGAGGAGCAGCGGAGACGCGATCTCGATGCCGCGGAGCACAAGCCGCTCATGACGAATTGGTTCTACTTCACGCGGTTGGGGCCCTGCGGTCTCTCCACCGGCCTTGACATTGGCCTCGGTAACATGTCACTACAGTTCATTTCCTTAACTTTTTACAGTACGCCCCCCCTCCCCTGTTTACCCTAGGTTTTACCGAACATGCAACTAACCCCTCCCCCCAGCAATGTGTAAATCCTCCGCCCTAGCATTCGTCCTCATTTTCGCCTTCCTCTTCCGCCTCGAGACCCCCTCCGTCAAGCTCATCGCCATCATCGCCACCATGACCATCGGCGTCGTCATGATGGTAGCCGGCGAAGTCGACTTCTCCCCCATCGGCTTCACCCTCGTCATCAGCGCCGCCTTCTTCTCCGGCTTCCGCTGGGCCGTAACCCAAATCCTGCTCCTCCGCAACCCCGCAACCTCCAACCCCTTCGCCTCCATCTTCTACCTCGCCCCCATAATGTTCATCTCCCTCCTCGCCATCGCCATCCCCGTCGAAGGCCCTAGCGCCCTTTTCGCCGGCCTCAAGATCCTCATCGAGAGCAAGGGACCCGTCCTCGGCCTAACTATCCTCCTCGCACCAGGCGCGATCGCTTTCTGCATGACGGCTTCTGAATTCGCCCTCCTACAGCGGACATCTGTCGTCACCCTCTCAATCGCGGGCATCTTCAAGGAAGTCGTCACTATCCTCGCGGCGGGGCGCGTGTTCTCCGATATCATGACACCGGTCAACCTCGGCGGGCTGGCAATCACCATCGCGGCCATCGCGGGGTACAATTACGTCAAGATCATGAAGATGCGTCACGATGCGCTGGCTGCGACGCACCTTGCGAATCTGGGTGTTGGGGGCCGCCATGAGCCGCTATCTGCCGATGACGAGGAGGATGATGGCGCGTATGGGATGGGGCAGCGCCAGGGGGGGAAGGCGCAGGAGAGCCAGGGACTTCTTGCGCAGGGATCGGGGACGCACTGATGTGTGCGTAGCGCCTAGCTGGATCGAAAAAGATGCGGTGCTGGGCGCTGCGGAAAAGGGGGGAGGAGGGGGGGTCGGTTTTTTTGTTGGCATGTATGTATATTGTATATTGGAGTGAACACTACTTGGGCAGATGGGCGTGCATAGCGTGGATGTATGATGGGTTTAGATAATAGAGATGGACACCAGGCAAGGGTGTTGACGAGCTGAACTACTCTTTCCTTTTCCGTCATAAATGGATACCTACCTACCTACCTTGCCTACCTAGAGAGGCTTTTGGTGATGAGTTCGTGCGTGATATGTGCTGGGGCTTGTGCGGAGGAAGGCGCGAGTGAGTGAGTGACGCTCGTTCTTTGTATGTTCTGTTTGTGTGGAAGGGAAGGCGCGAGTTAGGGAGTGACCGTCGTTCGTTCTTTCCGTCTGTTGGCGTGCGCCACATATGTCATCACACCCCGCCCGCGTTGGGGTCCTCGCCTTATCTAGTCGCGAGGTGGCTTCAACGCATCGACGACGCCACCGAGGTAGAATAACACGTCTTGATGAATTGATACGGTGATTTACTCTATATCTCATTTTTGAACATAACTGCTCTATCGCTCTCGTCACCATATATCGCGCATCGGTCACGGCAATCAAGTATTCGACGCCCCTTGCTTCCCCTTTCTGGGGCAATCCGTAATCCCAATCCGCAAGCACGACTTGACCGCTCTTCTTCCATCACATCTCTACCCATAGCCGCGGTTGCGGGCCAGTAGTCGAATGATAATCCTGGGTCGGGATCCCGCATGAGCACGCTCCTTCTCACAAATCCCCAAAAATGACATCCCTCACCTCCACCAACGCCATTGAGGAGGAGACATATGATGACTACGTAGCTGAGCAATTTTACCCTGCCTACATTGGGGAGGTGGTTAAGTCGCTTAGGGGGGAGTATGAGATTATTGGGAAACTGGGGTATGGACGGCATTCTACAGTTTGGCTGTGTCGAGAGAGAGGGTGTGTATATATACCGCCCCCCTTCCCCCCCCGCCTCCAATTATCTATTTGTTAAGTAGGTACTAATTAGGTCAGGGAAAACACATTCTACACCCTCAAAATCACCATCTCCCACCCCCCCAACACCACCAACCGCGAAGCAGACATCTACAACCACATCCAATCCCTCTCCTCACAGCACGAGGGGAGGGGGTACGTGAGGGAGTTGCAGGAGTCGTTTGGGATTGAGGGGCCGGATGGGAAGCATTGGTGTCTTGTGCATCAGCCGCTGGGGGTGAGTTTGCAGGAGTGGCAGAGGGGACTTCCTGAGGGGAGGTTGACGGGTGTGGTACTTCGGGGGGTGGTACGGAGTCTTCTCCAGGCGCTGGACTTTCTGCATGAGGAGGCGGGGGTTATACATACTGGTACTATTATTCTCCCTTTCCCATTTCCTCCCCCGTCCAGCTTCCCAAAACGATAAACACTCCGCTAACACCCCCCCAGATATCCAAGCCTCCAACATCCTCCTCACCCTCACCACCCCCTCCCCAATCCGCACCTTCATCGCCGCAGAACAAGAGCACCCCAGCCCCCACAAAACCGTCGATCAGTACCGCACAATCTACCGCTCACGTCGCTTGTCAGTCTCGCTCGATCTGCCGCCGGGGGTGGCGACGCTGACGGATTTCGGAAACGCGGTGCAGAACGCGCATAAGCCGCATGCGGGGCTGATACAGCCGTTGATGTGTAGGGCGCCGGAGGTGGTTTTGAGGATGCCGTGGGATGGGAGGGCGGATGTTTGGAATTTGGGTGTGTTAGTGAGTTTATCCGTTGTTATATGCGAGGGGGGTAGAGGGAAGATGGGAAGAGAAAGAGGCTAATTGTGAGGGCAGATGTGGCAGCTTAGGTTTAACCAACACCTTTTTGATGGGGTGACGGAGGGGGAGCAGTTGAGAAATATGATTGCGTCACTTGGTCCGCCGCCGAGGGAATTCGTGTTGCAGGGCCGGTTGGGGGTTAGGGAGTTGTATTTTGATGATGATGGTGAGCTTCCCATTGCTTGGCACGGGGGTGTTGGGGGGGTGTGTTGATGACGATGGTGATGCTGACTGCATGTAGGCGTGTGGAAAGGGGAGACGGTCAAGCCGAACCCTATTGGGGGGTCGCTCGAGGGGGAGGAGGCAGAGGGGTTCCTGGATTTGCTGAAGGAGATGGTGAGGTGGGTGCCGGAGGAGAGGAAGAGTGCGAGGGAGTTGTTGGGACATGCGTGGTTGGCTCCTGGCACCAATGGTACGGATAAGGAGGCGAGGAAGCAGTGATTGACTGGCGTCCACCTCACGGCAGGCACAGGGGACGAATGTGTATTTGACCGAGTAAGTTAGGTAACCTTGTTCTCCGCGGCATCGATAGCCGAAAGTGGTTTTATTGCTGGCCAGACATTATCGAAAGAAGATATATCTACCCCAGAAAGGCGCCACCGCCCCCTCCCCTTCCTCCCACCCGGTCTATTGTCGAACAATGCAGATAATGCACTTTGATGGTGGAAGGGTACGTTGGGAAAATGGCCGGGGGGCGGTGTTTCGGTAGCCCAATTTGGGCGTGGATATGTCTTCTTCGGATAGTGTCTGACTGTCAAGAAGCCGATTAGTTGATGTGATGGTGATGAATGGCAGAGGAGAGGTTCTCTACTCACTTGATGGATTACGCATTCGTCCCCTGTGCCTGCCTGATTGTGGGGTGGGTGCTAAGCGGATGGGACTGTGGGGAAGTTTCTGAGGCAGTCTTAGGTGAGCATAAAGCTTCGACTTTATCCTGGGGTGAGAAGGACGGGGGTCTGGAGGTTGGGGTCCGTGATGATGGGCTTTTAGAGGGAGATTGGGGGTTGAAATGGGCGTCGAGCATTTGGAGGCAGCTGCATGGTTATAGTTATTGGGAGGTGGCTATCTGTGTGATTGTCGGTGGCTTTTCTTCATGGACGCTGATGCTGATGGCTGCGGCATAAATGTGATACCCAGTGTTTCCAGTAGTATTGCCCGTATACGGGAGGCTCTCGTATACGGGCCCGTATTATACTTAAGTATTCATACGACCCGTATCATAACACCTCTCCGCCGCTAGTATTATACTTAAGTATTGCTGGCCATATCTACGGCAAGGAGTCCTGGTGTTTGCAAGTTCTGTTCTAAGGAGTATACTGTTGGTGGGGGCACTAATATCATCATCAAGCACTTAAAGAGCGCCATTCCATTGACTTGAAAACACCACAAGAGCAACGCATTGATGGATATCAATCCACAATAGCTGTAGCCTTTGCCAGGCCAGACACAATCAATCATAAACGCCGTAAACTCAACGATATCACTGCTGTTAGGCCTTTAGATCCACGTGTTCTTGAAGATCTCTATGTGCTGGATAGTAGCATGTGGAATTGCATTCCGAATGGTTTCAATCCCCGAGTTCCGCACGTAAGTAGTATTACCTTTCATGATTTAAGGCTTTTATTAATATATAACGTAACGTATGGGGTAGTCGGACATATGGGGTAGTCGGACCAAGTTTATTCTACTCTAGTTGACCGAGTCCTACGTGCCACACACTCCTCCAATTCCAATTCTGGGTCGCTTGAATCGTTCTCTACCTCTTCCTCTTCAACTTCCTCGTCTACTTCTTCAATTGGCCGTTTGCGTGGCCTTCCACGTGGTCTTTTCTCGGTTGACTTCAACTCTGCCTCCCGGACAATTTTCAACACTTCCTCGGTACAAAACCTGTCTCATCCATATTATAGATGTTGCATGGCTTTCTTCAATTCGTGCTTTAAACGCGTCAAACCAAGCTGAAATCTTTATAGGAGTGGCTTCTTTATGTCGTGCAGACTCTAGTTGTCTTGAGTAGACCCCTTTAAAGTTTGGATGTCGTTTAAGAATCTATAGATCCATTCATGGCCTATGGGGGTAGGATTGGTCCGAAGAGTGGTTTGAGAAGACGCGATTTGGACGCGTCGTACGCGAATTTCTTCAGCCATTTCCTTGATCAACATAGGAGTTGCAGGAAAACCCGTGGCAGTGAGACGTGTAATCCATCGTGCTAGTGTATTTTCTTCTGCATTGAGAGAGCTTGTTCAATTTCGTGAGCTACAGCACGCGTTTTCTTCCCAGACATCCTATCAGCAAGAGTTGACTTAGGAACTTCGAAGTGGTCTGCAGCAAGTCTAATTGATTTGAATTCTTTCAATTGGAGTGCAATGACAGCCTTTTGGATGTCGTCTTAAATCTGAGCACGACTGTATGGTTGTGGGATGTTCATGGTGGAAGGTATGAAGGTTCTGAGTTGGTAGTCGGGCATTTTTGTCCGACTACCCCGTATGTCTGACTACCCCATACGTTATGTTATATAGCATGCTTCACTATTTAAATCCAGCCATCAATGAATGGCTGCCTCATAGCTCGACAACAATTCACGATTGGGTCCTTCATAAATATACAGAAGAGAAGGTCATCATTCGACAGGCTGTTCAAGCTGCCCTTACAAATATACACTTTACAGTGGACTTATGGACTTCTCCAAATTCCCTTCCAATCCTCAGCATTGTCGCTCACTATATATCAGCAACTGGATAACTCTGTTCTTGCACTACGAGAAGTTAATGGCGAGCATTCTGGTGAGAACCAAGCTGTGGAAATTCTTGATCTTATCAACGACTATGGCATTGCTTCAAAAGTTGGTTATTTTGTAATGGACAATGCAACAAATAATGATACAATGATCAAGGAGCTTTCGAAAAAGCTGAAAGAGGAGCATGAGATAATATGGGACCCTAGGCGACATAGATTACGGTGTAATGGCCATGTGATCAACCTCGCTGTTCAAGCCTTTCTCTTTGCAAGTGATGAGGAGGACCTCTCACAGGATAATAATACGGAGCTATTGTCGTCGCTGACAGAAATAGAGATGGAGCAGTGGAGAAAGAAAGTGTTACGGCTATAGTAACATGATGTCATGGTTACAGGGCCAGGGCCTAGTAACGTGACGTGTGAGTCACAGTGGGAAGTGGGGTAGGCTGCCATGTGACGGGGCTAATGGATAGTTGCAGAAACTAGTGGATATTGGATAGTTGAGCTATCCACGAACTATCCTGAATATCTAGCTATCCGCCAACTATCCAGATTACCCATGAGGCACGACGCCACTATATAAGTAGATAGTATTTCCTTAGATAGGAGCTTCATGCTCAACTCAATATAGTATTCTTTACAATACTGTAACGTGTTACTTGGAAAGCCTTTGTGTCTAATCCCCTGCCTCCTCTGTCAAGTCAACCTTACGCAAGAAACCTCTGTGTCTTCTATCATTTAGAAGTCAGCGTTACACTTTGAGCACCACTTCCACGAGGTACCGGCTTACACACAAAGCAACATGGCTGGAGACGATACTGGATCAAATGTTGGATTGAAGGGAAAGGCTGCTACTGAACCTACCATCGAAGCCCCACAGGCTCACCCTTCAGACAAGTTGAAGATTGCATTCCCAGACACCTTTCATGGGGATCGCAAGAAGCTTAAGAGCTTCATCATCCAGACAGAGCTATGGATGGCGTTTAACGCCAAACACTTCAACAAAGAAGTGGAACAGGTCCTATGGGCTGTGGCACTCTTTCGAGGACCAGCCTCAGAATGGATCTCTAACTACCTCGCCGACTACATGAACCATCGAACACCCGACGGAAAATGCAACACCTTAGCTAGCCAAGGAACGAAGGAAATTTTTGTATCCTGGAACGGATTCCTCAAAATGCTTAAGGCAAACTTCGGAGACATTGATGAACGACGAAATGCAGTCAGGGCACTCCAGGCTCTCAAGCAGAGAGGGTCAGCAGTTGCATACACCGCTGAGTTTCAACAGCATGCAACACTCACCAACTGGGGAGACGAGGCTATCTGTGACCAATTCTACGCAGGTCTGAAAGACCATGTGAAGGACGAAATCTCAAGGTCTGACAAACCAGATGACCTTAGAGAGATGATTGAATTGGCTCAGAAGATTGACAATCGTCACTACGAACGGCAACTCGAGAAGAAAGGGGGACCACCTAGTCAACACTGGACTCAGAAGAGAAGACAAACAAAGAGTCATTGGCCCCAACCTATGGAACTTGACGCTACTTTCAAGCCTAATGGCAAACCCCACAATCCCAACAAGGAGCGACAGTTCCAAGAACGGCTCTGTTTCAACTGCAATAAGCCTGGACACATAGCGCGAAACTGCAGACAGTCAAAGAAAGGGAATGGAGGACGAAAGTATGGCAAACAGCTTAATGCTACTTGGCAAGGTCAAGGCGGGTGCAAGCCCCCACGAGGACAGCTATGTGCCACGTTAAAAGGAAAAGAGAACTGGAGTATTACTACTCAGGATCTCGAGGAATTCCACTTGTCAAACAGAGAAGACAAGAATGATGACAAGGAGCTCACTAGTTCTCAAAAGCAACGGTTACAAGCATTTGAGAAGACAGCAAGTAAGACTCTCTTCAAGGAACAACTGCCAGGAGCAGTAAGAACCTTCAAGGAAGCCATGCTTCAGGAGATGGTCGATCAAAGAATTCCTGTGCCCAAGCCACCAATGAGCTGGCAGGACACTACACAATACTGGGAGGTTGCAGTTCGCACAGTGAGGTGCCGACCGGAATACCCTCACCAGCAGGAAAGCATCCCAAGAGAAGAAAAGGGAACACGAGTGTTAGAAGCACACGAACGCCTACGCCGTGAAGCAGAACGAAGAAGAGAAGGGACACCACTTCTACGACCATTAGAATATGGTGAACATGATGGATTTTCCTCAGACGGTTATTCCTCAGACGATTCAAAAAACTAGGAGTCCTCGGCAGTAGGCCACTGGCGAGCGACACAGAGAGGCCTAGTACAAACCAGCTATGCGCCACAATGGGCGGCATGCAGCTATATGTGGTTGCTAAGATACAACAGCAACACCTCCGAGCTATGATAGACTCAGGAGCAACGGGCAACTTTATGACAAAGAAAGTAGCAGACACACACGGTTTCAGGACGCAGCTGAAGACCGATCCATACCCATTAATGGTTGTAGATGGAGAGCCCATCTCAACTAACGGTGACCCACGAGACGGTCCCATTAGAAATGGTCATGCTACGCGGACACAAGGAAACGATACAGTTTGATATCGTGCACATGGACAATCATGCATGCATACTTGGTGTACCGTGGCTCAAGAAACACAACCCCCAGATCGACTGGCGGAATGAGAAAGTTGTGATGAGCCAATGCGCATGTGAACAACGAACGGACATGCCGCAGAAGGAGAAAACCTCCAAAGACCGGAAGGAGTTATGTGCGACCACCGAGTCTGATGACCCAGCCCAGGCATCCTCACTGAAGCAAATACCAGTGGAGTATAAGGAATACGAGCAGTTATTCCGGGAAGGCCCTAACGAAGAGGCGCTTCCTAAGCACCAACCATGGGATCATGAGATACCTATCATGGAAGGAAAGAGTCCACCGTTCGGACCAATATATCAGATGTCAGCAGCAGAGCTGGACATACTGAAGGAATACATTGACGAGAACCTCGCGAAACGGTTCATTCGACCATCGACATCACCAGCAGGAAGTCCAATACTATTTGTGCCAAAGAAGGACAAGAAGCTAAGACTCTGCATGGACTATCGAGGAACGAATAATGTCACTATCAAAGATAGATATGCCTTACCTTTGATAAGCGAACTACACGATCGGTTCTAGGGAGCCAAGATATTTACCAAGCTGGACCTCAGAGGCGCCTATAACCTGATTCGAATCAAGAAAGGGGATGAGTGGAAAACAGCATTCCGCACCCGCTATGGCTTGTTCGAATACTTGGTTATGCCCTTTGGTCTAACAAACGCACCAGCATCCATGCAGAGGCTCATGAATGCAGCTCTCCATGAATACTTGGATGTGTTTGTTATCGTCTACCTAGACGATATCTTAGTCTACTCAGGAGACCCAACGGAACACATTGGTCATGTTCAGAAGGTATTACAGAAGTTAAAGGAGCATCGGTTACTCCTCAAGCCAGAAAAATGCAAATTCCACAAGGATCAAGTAGAATTCTTAGGCTACATTGTCGGAACGCATGGCATCAAAATGGACCAAGCAAAGGTCACAGCAGTGTTGGAATGGCCAACACCAACCACGGTCAAAGAAGTACAAGCCTTCTTAAGGCTTTGCCAACTTCTACCGGAGGTTTATTATGGGATATTCCAAGGTAGCTCAACCACTTACAGAGCTTACAAGGAAAGACCTTACGTTCGAATGGACAAGCAAGGCAGAGGCTACTTTTCAGGAACTTAAGACGAAGTTCACAGAAGCACCTATCCTAGTCACATTCGACCCTGCAAAGAGGATTGTCTTAGAGACAGACTCCTCTGACTTCGCGATTGGAGCCTGTCTAAGTCAGCCAGACAAAGACAAGAAGCTTAAGCCAGTTGCATATTACTCTAGAAAACTGTCACCTGCAGAGCTCAACTATGACATCCACGACAAGGAGCTGATAGCTATTGTCGTTGCTTTTGAGCAATGGCGAGTATATCTTGAAGGATCGACCTACCCAGTACAGGTATGGACGAATCACAAGAATCTCATATACTTCACCACAACCAAGGTTTTAAACCGCAGACAAGTCCGATGGGCAGAGACACTCGCAGCCTACAACTTCACGATTACATATCGCAAGGGCTCTGAGAATGCAAGAGCCGATGCTCTTAGCAGAAGGACCGACTACATCGGCCCTAAAGAGGAAAGACCTAGAGCCATATTGAAGAAAACAGATGCAGGAATGCAATACAACGAGTTGCTAGCCACGATTGCCACTGTGGAGAACTTGGAGTTGGAAGAAAGACTCAAGAAAGCTTATGCAACAGATGAATGTGCAAAGCGAGTCTTAATAAAAACCGAAGGCGACTTCGCCATTGATGAACAAGGATTGATCCGATTCAAAGGATTAGTGTATGTCCCAAACAAAATGAGACGCCCGCTAGTGCAAGAACAACACTCGCTACCAGCACACGGCCATCAGGGAGTAACACGCACCTTCGAACGAATCACCCGACACTACTACTTCCCAGGTATGAGGAAGCAGGTGGAAACGGTAGTAAGAGAGTGCGACATTTGCAGCAAATCCAAAACCAATAGGCACTTGCCATATGGACAGCTGAAATCGACTCCAGTACCAACAGGAGCGTGGAAATCTATAGCTTTGGACTTCATTGTCAAGCTACCACCCTCTCGGGACCCGTTAACAGGAGTAGTATTTGACGCTATCCTGGTTATTACGGAAAGACTCACGAAATATGGAATATTTGTGCCATATTTAGAAGCTAGCGATGCTGAAGCACTCGCATACACCTTCCTTCGAGTCATATTAGCCGATCACGGATTACCGGAAGAAATCATCTCAGACAGAGACAAGCTTTTTACTTCGAAATTTTGGAAATCTTTAATGGCACTTTTGGGAACAAATCATAAGCTATCAACAGCTTTCCATCCCCAAACAGACAGTATGACAGTAATCTGGATCTAGTTTGGGGATTTGGAATTAGATGGTAGGTGGTGGCATTATTGTATATATGGGGTTGGGGGGGTAGATAGATAGGAATGGATGAGAGCGAAAGTACAAGCCATGTAACAGTGGGATCGCACATTTCAGTTCCTAAAACTCTCATCTAATAGCATCATAACCATACACACTTGCCACCCTACGCAGACATAAACTCTGACTAATAGGATCTCTTTACCACTATTATATACACAAGCACTGCATCTATCTAGGTCATCCACAATCACTATCAAGACAACAGACACACACAATATAACAAACTATCCATCATCCATTCCTATCTATCTACCCCCCCAACCCCATATATACAATAATGCCACCACCTACCATCTAATTCCAAATCCCCAAACTAGATCCAGATTACTGTCATACTGACATTCGTTGCACTCAGTTTGCTATCAAACTAAAGAGCAAACTTAGAAATCTCCTCCTCAAACCTACAAGTCACCATACATATATTGGCTTATCACACCAACAACAAGAGCAACAGTACTCAACGATTGCTGCAAACTCTTCTACTACATCTGTTTATGCTACATACATCACGGCATATCATTTGGACACTCATTGAACAAGTTATTAAGAAAATCTCCTCCTTAAGGGGGTGGGCCAATACTACCACATGGCATATCTCTACCAACTAGAGGCCTAGAAACATGACGATAGCTCACAACCCTCTATGATTCATTACACATCATCGCTCCTTAGTTACCCACAAGATTGGTTAAGTTATGACATAATTTATCTATAGGTACTCTGACCTTGGACCTCCTTTTCACTTCCTATAGGCTAGGAACCCAAGAGATGGTTCTATGGGATTCTCTTACATTCGCTACATGATTAGCAAGCTAGTTGTGGGTCGCACTTGATTTCTAATACATTTACCAAGCCTGGTTAGTCATGGAAAGTCATGGAAAATGAGAGAACTACACTCCTTTGGCATAAATAGGATTGCCCTTTCCTTAAGAAAGGGCAAGCAGACAATACAGTAAATCGGCTATCACATACTTCCACGTCTTTTACAAGCTTCCAAGCATTCATCTTGTTACTCCTTGTTTCTGAAAAGTCAGTGAGGTGTTAACCTCTGACTTACCCCTGAGTTCCCAGACTCAACATTTGTTGCAACTTGTCTGAACCACTTCACTACATCACACACCTGATTGCTGCGTTGTGGAATAGTCTAAGCTACAACCCTTTGGCTCTGTTTCCTAAGACAGTGTGTTGTCTTAGCAAAATCATCCCTTCCTTGGGTGGCTAGATTCTCACATCTGGTGCACCCACCATTATAGTCCACCCTTTTCTACACCTCCCTGATCGTTTGACCTTTGCTTCTCGCTCTCGCTCTTGCTCTTCGATCTTCAGTTGGTTGAGCTTCTATCCAGGATCTACACCTTCTTCAGTGAGTGTGTCCTTCCTCCTTTTTTTTCCTTCCTCAGAGGCTGACTGGTGAAGCAGATGTTCCTACTTCCCTCGCTCGTGCAGTCCTTTACCATGGGACCCTGCCAGCCACCAGCCAAGAAGCTTCCCTTTATGAAGAAACGTTCTGCAGCAGAGATGCTTGGTTCCTCTGACTGTGAGGCGCCCATGATGCCCACTCCCTTTGGTTCTATCACGCCGAACCAACGTCCTGGATCTGTCGCATCGAGCCAACGCCCTCGCGCTATCTGCCCCTACCACTCTTCTTCTGTGGAGGAGGAGGTGGAGGGTGTCATACTGACATTCGTTGCACTCAGTTTGCTATCAAACTCAAGAGCAAACTTAGAAATCTCCTCCTCAAACCTACAAGTCACCATACATATCTTGGCTTATCACACCAACAACAGAAGCAATACTACTCAACGATTGCTGCAAACTCTTCTACTACATCTGTTTATGCTACATACATCACGGCATATCATTTGGACACTCATTGAACAAGTTATTAAGAAAATCTCCTCCTTAAGGGGGTGGGCCAATACTACCACATGGCATATCTCTACCAACTAGAGGCCTAGGAACATGAACGATAGCTCTAGAAGCTTCTACAACCCTCTATGATTCATTACACGTCATCGCTCCTTAGTTACCCACAAGATTGGTTAAGTTATGACATAATTTGTCTATAGGTACTCTGACCTTGGACCTCCTTTTCACTTCCTATAGGCTAGGAACCCAAGAGATGGTTCTATGGGATTCTCTTACGTTCACTACATGATTAGCAAGCTAGTTGTGGGTCGCACTTGATTTCTAATACATTTACCAAGCCTGGTTAGTCATGGAAAGTCATGGAAAATGAGAGAACTACACTCCTTTGGCATAAATAGGATTGCCCTTTCCTTAAGAAAGGGCAAGCAGACAATACAGTAAATCGACTAGCACATACTTCTACGTCTTTTCCAAGCTTCCAAGCATTGATCTTGTTATTCTCTATTTTTGAAAAGTCAGTGAGGTGCTAACCTCTGACTTACCCCTGAGTTCTCAGACTCAACATTTGTTGCAACTTGTCTAAACCACTTCACCACATCATACACCTGATTGCTGCGTTGTGGAATAGTCTAAGCTACAACCCTTTGGCTCTGTTTCCTAAGACAGTGTGTTGTCTTAGTAAATTCATCCCTTCCTTGGGTGGCTAGATTCTCATATCTGGTGCACCCACCATTACACCGTCCTCCTGTGGCAGTCGGGTCCCCTTCGCTAGTGGGTGGTGGGTCAGTTTCTGCGTTGCCGTTGTTGTCGCCCTCTTCTGAGGGTAGTGGTTCCTCGTTGGACTCTGACGCTTTCTTCTTTCCGTAGTCTATAGGTTACATACTACTACATTGTTCTGACTCTGTTCCTCTCTGCTTGCTCCTTGTGATATGCCTCAATTAACAGTAGCCCTACGTCAAGCTTTGAAACCCACTGATCGTCAGTGGCAGTGTATCCTGCCCACCTAATCAGGTATTCTTCTCGAGTTCCTCTGCCCTTTCGCACAGTCCTGTGGTCTAGGACTGCTTCGACCCTGTATTCTTCTTCCCCATCACACAATCGTTCTTTCCTTCATCAGTTGGCCGTTCCTTCCCTTTTTGACACGGTCGTTCCTTCCTCACTTAGTCGGTCGTCCTTTCCCTATTTTTACGCAGTCGTTCCTTCCTCACTTAGTGGGTCTTCCCTTATTAAGATATTTCAAGGGTCATGCCTTCCCTTAATAGTTGGATTAAGATATTTCAAGGGTCGTGCCTTCCCTTAATAGTTGGTCGTTCCTTGCTTCTAGAGGCAGTCGTTCCTTCCATTTTTATATAGTCGTTCCTTCCTCACTTAGTCCGTCGTTCCTTCCCCATCAAAATATTTCAAGGGTAGCACCTTCCCTCAGTAGTTGGTCGTTCCTTCCCTTTTACACGGTCGTGCCTTCCCTCAATAGTTGGTCGCTCCTTCCCTAGTTAACCGGTCGTGCCCTCCCTCCAAGAGATAGTCGTTTTCCTTCCTTAGTTAGTTCGGTCGTTCCTTCCTTCTGGAGCCTGTTGTTCGTTCTTTCCCTATTGAAATATCCAAAGGGGAAAGAACGACCAGCTATATTTAACTATTTCATCAACAGTCTCCATAAATAAAGTGAGATGGGTGATCGCCCACACTCGGCCTCTTTCTATCACCTATCCAGTCCACACACAACTTCACGCATCACGGAGAAGACATCTCACATCCAAAGGAATTCAATTGCATTGCATTCAATTTGATTCAATTCAAGATAAAAAAAAAGTTCTATCAAACTTAGTCCGCCTCCACACTACCCTTACCACGATCTTCATTCAGAATCTAATTTTCGACCTTTTTCCATCTCTCTTTTTCTCCAGAAGGCATAATACTTTTGCCTCCTTTCCCCATTAACCGACTTAAAAAGTCACCCTACCAAGCAAGCAAACCCCTCTAAGCCTGGTATGTCGACGCCGACACGTTTCCTCCACGTCCAGTCCAGTTAACGTGGATGTTGGTGTCAGCGGGGTACTTCTCGTTCGCGGCCTCGGGCTTCATCTTGAAGGTGTGGGCACCAAAGTAATCACGCTGGGCCTGGAGCAGGTTGGCGGGAAGATCCTTAGTGCGGTAACCATCGAACCAGGACAGCGCGGTGCTGAAGCAAGGGGTTGGGATACCAAGAAGCGCGGTCTTGGAGACGACGTCTCTCCATCCGGGCTGGGCAGTGTGGATAGCCTTGTTGAAGAAGTCCGAGAAGAGGAGGTTCTCGAGCTCCGGGTTAGAGCGGTAGGCCTCGGTGATATCCTTGAGGAAGACGGAGCGGATGATGCATCCACCGCGCCACATGAGGGCGATGGATGGCTTGTTGAGCTTCCACTTGTACTCCTTGGCGGCCTCCTGCATGAGCATGAAGCCCTGGGCGTAGGAGATGATCTTGGAGGCGTAGAGGGCCTGCTCGAGATCGGCGAGGAACTGCTCCTTGTTGCCCTCGAACTTGGTCGAGCGGCCGACGAACTGCAGCTTCTCGGACGCGCGGGTGCGCTCGCCCTTGATGGAGGAGAGGCAGCGGGCGAGGACGGACTCGGCGATCAGGGTGACGGGCATGCCGAGGTCGAGCGCGTTGATAGCGGTCCACTTGCCGGTTCCCTTCTGGCCAGCGGAATCGAGGATCTTCTCGAGGAGGGGCTGGCCGTCGGTCTCGTCGTTGAAGTACATGATGTCGCGGGTGATCTCGATCAGGAAGGAGTCGAGGACGCCCTTGTTCCAGGTGGTGAAAACGTCACCGATCTCCTTGTTCGACATGCCAAGAGCGCGCTTCATGATATCGTAGGCCTTCAGGGGTTAGCATTATGGCTCCCCACTCCACTTTAGAATTTAATAAACTCACCTCGCAGATCAACTGCATGTCACCGTACTCGATACCGTTGTGGACCATCTTGACGTAGTGGCCAGCACCCTCATCACCAACCCACTCGCAGCAAGGCTCGCCATCAGACTTGGCAGCAATGGCCTGGAAGACGTCCTTGATGTAAGGCCACGCCTCCTCGTTACCACCGGGCATCAGCGAGGGGCCGTAGCGGGCACCTTCCTCGCCACCAGAGACACCGCTGCCGACGAAGCGGATTCCCTTGGAGTCGAGGTACTTTGTGCGGCGGGTGGTGTCTGGGAAATGCGAGTTGCCGCCATCAATGATGATGTCGCCCTTCTCGAGGTGGGGGAGGAGAGTCTCGATGAAGTCATCGACGGGCTTGCCGGCCATGACGAGGAGCATGATGCGGCGGGGAGACTTGAGCTTGGAGCAGAACTCCTCGATGGAGTGAGCACCGACGATTGACTTTCCTGGATGTCATTTGTCAGTTTATATTCTTCTCCGGTTTTCCGGCGTGCAGGTTGGTGGGGTTTCGACTCACCCTTGGCCTCGTTCTCGAGGAAGTGGTCGACCTTGGTGACGGTACGGTTGAAGGCCACAACGGTGAATCCGTTATCGGCAGCATTGAGGATCAGGTTCTGTCCCATGACAGCCAGGCCAATGAGGCCGAAATCGCCGCTGGGAATACGCGCATCCTCGCCGACGTTGATGCCAGCAAGACGTGCGCTAAAGTCAGCAAAAAGAACGCAAGTCAACTTTTTGGAATCTTTGTCCTGATCGTCTGGAAGAGTGAAAGAGGGCTGGAGAGGGATATATTTTTTATTCCGGGCGTGGTTGTGCTTGGGGATGGCATGGCAGGCAGAATTCGTTGAGCTCTGAGCTGAGCCATGACGAAAGCGATAGCGGGGCAGTGAGGAGCGAGGTTTTTACTTACACTGGACCACTCATGTTGAGGGATTGGAAGAGCGAAGATGTATGGGTGGTATTTGGAGTAGATGGAATAGAGGAGAGAAGCCGATTCACAGAATTGGATTTCTATTCAGAAAGATGAAGGAAGTTTGAGGCTGTGGATGGGAGAGAGGATGAGCGATGAGGGGGGGGTGGGGGGTGGGGGTGGGGGGGGTGGGTGGGATGATTAGTGGTTAGTGGAGCAGGGAAATAGTACGGCGGCCTCAGACCTCTCAAAGGCAGCTATGGAGTCAACTTATGCCAACTCCACCAACATTCATAAATCATAATTTCTTGGAGTACTGGTAGGGTTAGTCTAGTCTTTGTTTTTTTTTATCGCGCGCGCGCAGGAGCGAACGATATGAAGGGAGGGGGCAATTCCAATACGTACACAGAAAAGGGTAACAGGCAGCTTATCGCCCTCTTACCTCTTACCCTCTACTCACTTTATCTCCCATTACCCTCAGTCCTCCTTCCCTCCTCCCCCGAGCTGACCCATAGGTTTTGAGGATGCATCACGTCATGGCACACCAGTGACAAAGATGTGTGGGTAGTCACGTGCTTTGGTGTCACGGGGTTGGGGGTTGTCTGACCAACGCGTTGGTGACGGGATGAGTGATGCTGTTTGTCACCGCCTCGATGTGACTGCGGACGGAGTCTTGATTCTATTAACTACCATACAACTATCCGACATAGCCACATTCCTTCCGTTCGCTGAGAACCTCCCATCTACAAACAACAACAACCCCCAAGTAATCCCCCACCAACTCCCACAAACCACCCAACGCCCATCACAACACTCCCCCCCATCCTCCCGGGCACTACCCCAGGATCTTCAACCCCCCCTTCGTCTTCTGCCCCGCCTTCTGCACCCCCCCCTCCTTCACCCCCTGCCCCCCTTCCCCCTATCCTTATCCCTATTATTCCTTCCCCCCTTCCCCCTCTTATTATCCCTCGGCACCACCGCCTTAATCTCCGTCGTGCTCCTCTTAATCAGCACGGGATGACTCCCAATATACTTCCCCTGCATCTCCCTCGCGGCCTGAAAGAAATCGTCTCCGTCCGCAAAACTCACAAACCCAAACCCCTTACTCTTCGTCGTCCGCTTGTCGCGCACCACGCGCGCTTTCTGCACGGATGGCCACCGCGCAAAGGCTTTCAGCAGACTCTCATCCGTCACCTCGCCGGCGAGGTTGCCGACGAAGATGCGGAAGTGCGCGGGGTCCCACTCGAGTAGCGATGAGTCGGTCCACTGTGTCCCGCCACCGGAGCGCACGACCGTAGCTTGTTTCCCATCCTTCCCGCCCACCACGGTCGCTACGCCTGTGTCGGCGTTGACTGCGGAACTCACGTCGCGACCTCCCAGCGGCGCGGCATTGGCGCTCGTCGCGGCGCCGCTGGTGCCGCCTGCTGCGCTGGGGTTTGTGGCGTATGTCGGTCGGCCGGTGGGCTGGGAAGAGGCGCTATTGTCTTTCGAGTATGCGGACTGCCATTGTGCGATCTGCGCTTCCATCTCTGGGTCAGCGGCGGCATCGTAGTGCCCTGCTGCGCCGGGCTGGCCGGGGAGCGGGAAGGGGTTGCGGATCTGAGGCGTGCCATATACGTCTTGTGGTTGTTCGGGTTGGTAGCCCTGTTGGGCGCCATAGTTGCTGGACTGGTATGAGGAATTGTATGATGGCTGTGCGCCGTAGGAAGGCGCACTCATGGCGGCGGGCTGGACACCACGAGGCACGAAGCCCTGGGACTGGTAAGGCGCGGCGGCATAGTTGGAGGGCGGGTTGGCGTAGTTCGGTTTGAAAGCTGCGGCCGGGACGGCGGAGGGGGGAGGGCGCGCGGGCAGAGATGACGGTTGAGAGGTTGATTTGGAGTAGGAGCTAAGGCCTGGAGGAGGCGGGTAGGACATGATGAATGACTGTGCCTGTAGACCTTTGTATGGTGGTTAGACGTACCTCTTGCGCCTGGGTAGGTGCAGTGGCAAATGGAGCGCGCAGGGCGAGGGTTGGTGATGATGCAAGGAGTTTGGGATAGGTGACACAGGTGAGGTGGTGTGAATCGGCGTGAGAGACGGTTCCGTGTCGGAGAACGTGGTGTTGTGGTCGTGGTGTTGTGGTCGTGGTGTTGTGGTCGTGGTGTTGTGGTCGTGGTGTTGTGGTCGTGGTGTTGTGGTCGTGACGATCTGATGGGGAAGGTGGAAGCTCAAATTGGCGCAATGCTGAAATTTAGACTGCATGTCACGTGCTAGCACGATGGCTCCTGCCAAACGCAACCTCACCTTGCCTCAACTAGCATTGCAGCTTACGACTGGTATGCGGTATCTGAATATTTCGAGTTGATTCTATAATGTGAATTCCTAGAAGGATTCAGATCTCCACAAATGATTTTCATCCTCTTGCCATAGCATGTTCTATGACAAGATTCCATCTTTGACGGCACTACGAACCGCCATGCGTCAGCAACTAAGCAAGTATAGTAAGTTAAGGATCTCAACAGGCAAGGAAGTTCAATTTGACTCGCACATTTATGTGACAAGGGCTCTTTTTGCTTCATAATCAAATAACTTTCCATTTCATCTCCTTGCTACTCAATTGTGTATAAAGCGCCTCACATTATGCATCCCGTTTCCTGCTGTGATACATTACACCTTGTTATACAATATCACCCATCCCACAATCCCAAACTCACACTCAACCCAAACCCTCGCAATGGCATCAACCACCCCCTCACCAGCCTCCCCTTCCCCAACCCCACAAAACCTTACTGGCAAACCCACCCCTCCCCATCTCCAACCACCGCACCACCCCCTCCCTCCCCCCCTCCACCAAATACGTAACCATCGGCTCCGGCATCACTGGCGCCAGCATAGCTTACAAGCTCCTCCTCGCCGAACCCTCCGCCTCTGTCGTCCTCCTGGAAGCCCGGCAGGCCTCCAGCGGCGCCACCGGACGCAACGGTGGGCATTGTCGCCCGGGGGACTACTTGGGGTTCAAGAATAATGTGGATCTCATCGGCGTCGAGGAGGCGCTGCGGGTGGAGAACCTCGAGGAGACGAAAGTGCGTGCCGTAGCGGCGTTGGTGGAGGAGCATGGCATCGATTGTGATTTTAGGGCGCGAGAGTCGTTGGATGTGTTTGTGGATCCGAAGCAGTGGGAGGCAGCGCTGGAGGCGTTGAAGGCACGTGACCTGATGGAGTTGGTGCGATCTTGTACCTGGCGTACATATTCTCGCCGTATAAGCTTGTGTGTGCTCTGCTCGAGATGGTATTAAGAAGGGGATGAATCTCCAGACGAACACAGCAGCTCTTGGGGTCTCGCAGGATCCGGAATCGAAGCTGTGGACCGTTCGAACGGATCGTGGTGAAATAAAGGCGGAGAAGGTATCCTGGCCACAAATGCGTATACAGCGGCCCTGTATCCTCCGCTAGCAGACTTCATTAAGCCGGCAAGGTGTAATGATGTACGGTTACGCTCGCGCTACATCCCACTGAGCCAAAAAGACTACAATATTCCAGCTCGCCCGGAATACGCGTAACACGCTATATATACTGTAACGGTCGCACTCTGCCACCCCGTTACACAAGGGGCCAGATGCTGCTGTGCGCCCTAGGTTGAAGATAGCAGGGAATCCAGCGCTTAGGCGGACTGCCGCAATCCATACTACTCATGCTTATCCCTATTTCCAGTCCCGAGGCGACGGTGTCTCTGGTGATGGGGATCTCATATTTGGTAAGTCCCCCTTGGGGCTCTAGGTGGATACCTGCACTAACGCGACCAAAAGGCGTCGGCAGCTGGCACAGAAAGGTTGGAATACAGCGGACCTTTGATGACACCACGCTCCATCCCGAGATCTCAGAGTATCTTACTAATGCAGCGACGAATTTATTCGGCCTGGGGTGAGAAGGGCGCGGGAGTGGACTGGGATTATGGGGACCACAACTGATCATCATCCTTTGGTCGGCGAGGCATCTGGAAAGGACGGGCTTTAGATTTGTGCGGGGTTTAATGGACATGGTGAGTCTTGGCTATTTTATGGGAGTTTTTCAAACTGACGGAACTAGGCATGGGACTCGCATTTAAGTCCGCGGAGGCGCTGGTTGGACTTGTCACGGGCAGGGAGAAGGATGCTGATTAGTGGCTACCAAAGTGTTACAGGCCGTTCAAGGTGCTTTAGAGGCATTGAGGGAATTATAGGCAGATGTCTTCGTTATTCCACTGCATTTCTCCGCATTGAGAGATTATGCGTCCAATAAAGATCTAATACGACCTCCTAGTTAGATGCCACCAGCCTTGCGTGATGTCTGAACCTCTGTTGCCTATTCCAACATTCCAACATTTAAAAATGTGTGGCTTGTGTAACCATATCACTAAATAGACAATACTCTCTAGTGAGTCATATTTGCACGAGGCTGAGACTACGATAGAGTTATATTAGGCATAGCTACTTCTATTTACTAGGGTCTATGAGTGCTACAACCAACTGAGCCTAGGCTATATACTACGCCTGTATAGTGGCTTGGCACCTTCTTCTTTAGGCCTTGGTCAACAACTGTTTGGCCTAGCTGCCAAAACCCTCTAATGCAGGGCAAGCATCGTCAAGACCGATAGGAGCTACGATGTTAGAACTACATGCAATGTTTAAGATAGGGATTAGTTATATTAGATATACAAGTAACTACCACATACGACCATAGACTCAAGAGAATTGGGCATCCTGTCCGCTCTGCCATACACAAGCTTGTAATTCAGTGGATTGATACTCTTAATCGTGCTAATAGGCATAGCGTGGAGTCTAAGCCCCTTGCCGCCTTAAGGGGTGAAGACGAGGGTGAGCAGGGTGAGCCAAGGGGTGAACTAAGCACCAAAAAGTGCAGAGGTGCTACATCAAGACCATAAATCGGGCGACTACATCATGCAGTTCAGGTAATTTGGAGAATTGGAATAGGAACCAAATTGTCATACTGACATTTGTTGCACTCAGTTTGCTATCAAACTCAAGAGCAAACTTAGAAATCCTCAAACCTACAAGTCACCATACATATATTGGCTTATCACACCAACAACAAGAGCAATAGTACTCAACGATTGCTGCAAACTCTTCTACTACATCTGTTTATGCTACATACATCACGGCATATCATTTGGACACTCATTGAACAAGTTATTAAGAAAATCTCCTCCTTAAGGGGGTGGGCCAATACTACCACATGGCATATCTCTACCAACTAGAGGCCTAGAAACATGACGATAGCTCACAACCCTCTATGATTCATTACACATCATCGCTCCTTAGTTACCCACAAGATTGGTTAAGTTATGACATAATTTGTCTATAGGGGTACTCTGACCTTGGACCTCCTTTTCACTAGGAACCCAAGAGATGGTTCTATGGGATTCTCTTATTTCACTACATGATTAGCAAGCTAGTTGTGGGTAGCACTTGATTTCTAATGCAGTTACCAAGTCTGGTTAGTCATGGAAAGTTTTGGAAAATGAGAGAACTACACTCCTTTAGCATAAATAGGATTGCCCTTTCCTTAAGAAATGGCAAGCAGACAATACAGAAAATTGACTAGCACATACTTCTATGTCTTTTCCAAGCTTCCAAGCATTGATCTTGTTACTCCTTGTTTCTGAAAAGTCAGTGAGGTGCTAACCTCTGACTTACCCCTGAGTTCTCAGACTCAACATTTGTTACAACTTGTCTGAACCACTTCACTACATCATACACCTGATTGCTGCATTGTGGAATAGTCTAAGCTACAACACCTTGGCTCTGTTTCCTAAGACAGTGTGTTGTCTTAGTAAAATCATCCCTTCCTTGGGTGGCTAGATTCTCACATCTGGTGCACCCACCATTACAAATTGCAGGAGGCTACATGCTTAGATTATACATACTATATTAAAGTTTAGAGCTCGTCTTTCCTTAGTTCAATCTGCTTCCACAAAAGGTTTTCATAGCTAATGTCCTGAACAAAGAGGGGATCTTTTTGGCTACTCTCTGTATCCTGTTTAGTAAAAATATTGTCCCTATGGTTGTCCTAGTGTAACGCGTAAGCCCAGGGTCTCATGGGAGTCCAGGGACCAGGTCAGAAGGCAGGAAGTGAGATCGTATTGCAAGACAGTAAGTCTACGTATGTACAGCGACTATCGGCTGGAGGCCTCCTTCTGAGGCTTCCAGCTCCTTATATCCTACGTTCCTACATGCCCTAGTTTACCGAGCCCTAGTGGCTCCACTGCCAGGCAGCCCCTGAGTTCAGGGTGGCCTCACATGATGGGCCGCCTTACAATTGCCTTCCCTTCTGCGGGATTGTCCTCAATTCCAAGGCAGTAACGAGTATGGCCTTCTGCTTTTGTTTGGGCTCTTCACCCTAATCCTTGGGGTGGTCGCTAGGCAGGGTGGTTCCGTGACCCCCTTGTTGTTGGTTGGTGACCGCTCCGTAGGCGGTCACACCCACCTTCCTTCTTCTTGTCCACCCTTTTCTACACCTCCCTGATCGTTTGACCTTTGCTTCTCGCTCTCGCTCTTGCTCTTCGATCTTCAGTTGGTTGAGCTTCTATCCAGGATCTACACCTTCTTCAGTGAGTGTGTCCTTCCTCCTTTTTTTTCCTTCCTCAGAGGCTGACTGGTGAAGCAGATGTTCCTACTTCCCTCGCTCGTGCAGTCCTTTACCATGGGACCCTGCCAGCCACCAGCCAAGAAGCTTCCCTTTATGAAGAAACGTTCTGCAGCAGAGATGCTTGGTTCCTCTGACTGTGAGGCGCCCATGATGCCCACTCCCTTTGGTTCTATCACGCCGAACCAACGTCCTGGATCTGTCGCATCGAGCCAACGCCCTCGCGCTATCTGCCCCTACCACTCTTCTTCTGTGGAGGAGGAGGTGGAGGGGCCTGAGCTACCTGGGTCTTCTTCTTGGACGTCTTACTGATCCTTCCCGCAGTTCGAGTGAGGCCCACGCCTCTTGCGCCTTCGCCAGCGGGCCCTATCCTTGTGCCTGCACCAGTGGATTGCAATCGCGCCCTTCTTGAGCAGATGTTTGTGGGACTAGAGAAATGGGTGTATAACGCCCGTCCTCCTGTGGCAGTCGGGTCCCCTTCGCTAGTGGGTGGTGGGTCAGTTTCTGCGTTGCCGTTGTTGTCGCCCTCTTCTGAGGGTAGTGGTTCCTCGTTGGACTCTGACGCTTTCTTCTTTCCGTAGTCTATAGGTTACATACTACTACATTGTTCTGACTCTGTTCCTCTCTGCTTGCTCCTTGTGATATGCCTCAATTAACAGTAGCCCTACGTCAAGCTTTGAAACCCACTGATCGTCAGTGGCAGTGTATCATGCCCACCTAATCAGGTATTCTTCTCGAGTTCCTCTGCCCTTTCGCACAGTCCTGTGGTCTAGGACTGCTTCGACCCTGTATTCTTCTTCCCCATCCACGATCTCTGGGTCGGGTGGAGCATCGGCCTTCTCTATGCCTTCCCAGTACCTCTCGAGTAGGGAGATGTGGAACACGTCATGAATCGCCTTATATCGTGGTGGAAGCTTCAGCTGGTATGCTTGTTTACCTATCTGCTGGATGATCTCATACGGCCCAAGCCACCGGTGCCCCAGCTTCCTGCTTGGCTGGGTGGTCCTGATATTCTTGGCCGATAGCCACACCTTCTCTCCTACCATATACTGCATTGGCTTGTGTAGCTTGTTATAGCCTCGTATTTGGGCTTCCTTCGTCTGTTTCCATGCCTCTTCGAGCTCCTGTCGCAATTCTAGGATCAGCTTGACACGATCTTTCACGACTGGCACTTCCCTTCTGGTGGGGTCGTCCTCGATCCCTTGTCTTAAGGTCTATATTAATGCCATATTGGGCCTGGTTTGGCGACATCTGGATGGAATCGTGGAAGGCGTTATTGTAGGCCAATTCCGCGAAGTGGAGGGGTTCCACCCAGTTGTCTTGGTGCTGATTACAGTGGATCCGCAAGTAGGCTTCAATATTCTGATTCTGCTCTCGGTCTGGTCATCGGATTGAGGGTGGAAAGCGGTGGACAGGTTACGCCGTACTTTGAGGTAGAAACAGAAAGCCGACCAGAAGTGGCATGTGAATACACTTCCCTTATCCGTTATGATCTCAGCTGGGATTCTGAAGTCCTTGCCCCAGAACGCTAGGAAGAGCCGCACCAGTTCTGAGGCTGTAATGGTTTTCCTACAGGGTATGTATTTGGACACCTTAGTATAGCGATCTACTATCACGAGGATGGAGTCTGAAGCCTTGCCTTGGTCTGCCCCTACGCTTGGGGGCAGATCCGTGATAAAGTCCATACTTATGGATTCGAATGGTTTCGAGGGCATCCTCAAGGCCTGCATTTCGCCATACGGCCTGTGTCACACAGGCTTGATGCGCTGGCATCTATCGCAGTCCCGTACGTACTCCCTGGTTTCCTTGCTAAGGTCAGGCCAGTAGTATTTGCGTTGGATCAACTCTTGGGTTTTCTTATATCCAAAATGCCCGGCCAGTGGGTCGTTATGGCAAATCTTGAAGATTTCCATCCTCACTGCCTGGTTGGGAGGTACGTATACCACTCCCTGGAAGCATAGGATGCCTGCATCATCTACTCTCCATCCTGGAGGGTCCTCTGCTCACGCCGTTCCTGCATCCTTGGCCCTTTTAACAGCAAGCTGTAATGGTGGGTGCACCAGATGTGAGAATCTAGCCACCCAAGGAAGGGATGATTTTACTAAGACAACACACTGTCTTAGAAAAAGAGCCAAAGGGTTGTAGCTTAGACTATTCCACAATGCAGCAATCAGGTGTGTGATGTAGTGAAGTGGTTCAGACAAGTTGCAACAAATGTTGAGTCTGGGAACTCAGGGGTAAGTCAGATGTTAACACCTCACTGACTTTTCAGAAACAAGGAGT